TGTATGACATTGATTGGTTTGTCCGGAAGTTATTTTACTTCATGCATACAACCACAATGTTGTCATTAAATATTGAAAGTTGATTCTTGTTTCTAAAAGAATTATCTGGCATTGATATGATGTCGGCATTGAAACTGTTGGCTTGTCTTCTTAATTTTACTGTCTGTTCATTTTAATATACAGTTTTTTATTATTTGTTGCCAAATTCGAAGCTTATCAACGATGACAACAGGAAAAAGCATGATCATTGCTTCCATGACAGATTTATCCTTTCTTATGAGTATGTTAAGGGGTGGGGTTGGGCTGGGGGTCAGACATTTTTTAATTTGGGAAATGAAGTTCAAGTTCTACCTACTCACTTCATATTTATCTGACTAGGAAAAGAAGAAAGAAAGAAACAAGAAAGATGAAGATTGACAAAAAGAAGATAATTACCTTTTAGGGAAAAGTTCATTATCATTATTATTATTATTAATAGTAGTATTCTTTATTTTTTAATACAGGTACTGTTGCCAATAAACTTGATAAAGTGAGATTACTTTTTTCTCTCCTATTTCATGAAGTGATTATGACAATATAGTTTATTCTTGATAGACCAAAATTATTGATCAATCTCTATTACTGTTTAAATTGATAAATACAGTTTTGGGAACACACAAACTTTACCTATCAAGAATAAAAAATATTTTAACAATCTCTTTACGAAAAAAGGTAACATATTATCCAACCATTGGCAACAGTGAGGCAGCGTCACATAATCTATGCAGCAAAGTAGACCCATTGAAAGTCGTTCGCACCATTTTTGGTAGTGGTGATAAATTGAAGGATTAACACTGTGCTGTATACTGTACTTTTATAAGGGTTTTCCCTTGTTCTTCCAAATAAATAACGTCATTCCTATTGTACCCTGCTGCGAGGGAGAATCGAGAAGACGTTTGACAGTGAAGCTCAACTCTAATACCATTTTCTCCTTCAGTTCAATTACGCTACGCATTTTATTAAAATCATTTTTTTTTCGACTTTGAGAATGAGACTTTTCAGGACAGACAATTCTGGTCGAATATAAGATATAACTGTTCCCTCGTTATTCTCTGATCTCTAAAAACCGACACCGGCAATGCAATGTGAACGAGGCTCAAGCACTCACTCTTGTCGTTACAAATGTTTCAGGAAGTGGGCATGGATAATCTAAACAGACACACAGGAAATAGAAAGCCATTTACTTCCGGTAGCAACCAACTGCATGAATACAATTCCGGTTGTGCATATTACTCGAACGTATATAATTGGAGTCGTTAGAATTATACTGAGGGAATTCCCTGGTTTATTCATGTAATCACTACTTCATACTAGGGTCATTAAACCTTTATCCATTTACGATGTTTCTGAATCTGTTCTTACGAAGGCCTATACCACTACGCACACAATTACACTACAGTGAGATACGATAATTTCGCCTACATGCATAATACTTACGTATCACCATCACCACCACCACCACCATCACCACCACCATCATCAACATCATCATCATCATCGTCACAAGGCATCACCAACACTAACACCACCACCAGTACCAACACCACTACCATCACCGCCATCATCGCCATCATCATCATCATTGCCATCATCATCATCATCATCGAATTCATCATCATCATCATCGTCATCATCATCATCATCATCATCATCAACATCATCTTGAACAAGCACCTAACATTGTGAGATAGGTCTATAACAGTAAGAATCGGAGAACCAGCAGTAATAAGAGTACGGTAGTAAACTACTACTACTACTACTAGTAGTAGTAGTAGTAGTAGTAGTAGTAGTAGTAGTAGTAGTAGTAATATGAGGAGTAGTAGTAGTAATAGTAGTCATGGTTGTAGTATATAGGCCTCGTGTCAACAGCCGTTGTAATTAATGGCCCTAACTATATAGATCATGCTTATGTTCTTTTACAAGGAAAAATGTCCCTGATTATAGCATAATCTAAAATATAGAGAATGCACTTAAAAATTCTTTTCATTGAATTTTCAGCTTATTGTTTGAAGGGTATTTACTATCACCCACTAGAATGCATTGACACCACTATAATCGCCCCCGATATTTTGTTCCGCTGCACTGATCATCTTCTGAATCACTCCATTCTTAATACGCATTCTTTTGACGCACCAATAGTTTTGAAGGACGATTTATTTTTTAAAGTAATTAATACGAGCAAATTGTAAACAGATATTTCATTTTCCAAAGGTGTCCGAATTAACTTGTTTAATAAGTGCTTTGTTAAACCGACATTGAAAGAGAAATTGACGATAATGGCCTTGAGTTATTCTCCAAAATATGTTTGATATCAAAGCCACTATTTCCTTTTCTCGCAAACGGAACTATGAGTAATATCAAAAGAACTCCGATTTTATTGATTTTGTCTTGGTTTTGAAGTTTTGTTAGTTGCACCTCATTCTAAAATATTTCATTGTCATGAATTGTGTTGATACACGAAATCTCAGTATCATTAAGCATAATCTGATGATAGACAACAGGACGAAGTATTGCACATTTTTGCTTTTTTTGCAAGTAGCGTGGATACGATTATGATGCAACAACACAATCGCAAATACTTTCGAGAAATCAATCGTTAGCAAGTTCCCTGCCCTTGTCCATCATGTTTGGAAACATATGAAATCCACCAATAAAATCTTCCCAAATATGATTTCTGTAGTCATTGTGGAGTAGACAATGTGCACTACAATGTGCAGAATATTGATTGAATCCAAAGACCGGGGTAATCATAATACTGTAACTACTTTATTTAGCTAATGGAAATGTGCCATAAAAGAAACCGGTATTACAGCGGATTATCATTATTATCATTATCATCATTATTGTTATCATTAGCATTGATCTCTCTCTCTCTCTCGAATATGTTTCATTTGTACTATAGGATGTTAGTTTAGTTTAGTTTAGTTTAATTAATAATAGTTTAGTTTAATCGAGGGCTGCAAGCATTTCAAGCTTCACGCTGTATCCCTCATCATGTTAATTGTAAAGTGAGTAATGTTCTCCTATATATTGTCTATGTTCTATAAAGTATGAGTATCATGTATTGTACTTTGAAACGTAAATTATATCAAACTGATGGACATTATATATGTTTAAAATATGTATGCTTGAAATATGATATAGAAATAAATCAAATCAAATCAAATCAAATTATCATAGGCACTAAAATAGGGTATAGAAATTGCCCTTGAGTATAATAGTTGAAATTATAAGCCCCATACTGGAAATGTTTTTGCAACTCATAACCCATGCCTTCGTTGTGAGAGAAAATTACGTTTTCTTTTGCGATGAGCTAGTACTGTGTTTCCATACGTCAATTACCGTTGCCATTATGCGCCAATGGAGCTACAGTAATATTGAACAAAGTATTGAAAGGCTTTATTGGACCACGCTGATATTTTTTCTCAAAAATCGTTTATAGCATACCATAACAGCGACAATTAGGCTACAATGATTTATCCGCACTTGAGAATAAAAGGTGATTTCAGCGGTTTTGTTCGATCTATGATAAAACCACAAGTCATATAAATTGCATGAAACAAGGAAACCATAACAACCATCCCCCTAAATCATTTCCTGGACATATTTTCTACTAAGAGCTAACCTTGCATCATGGGCTGGTAGCGAAGGAAACAGGTTTAAATTGTAGTTACGGTTTAATAATACTGACGATAATAAAATAATTTTCATAAAGCACATGTTAAAGAAACGCCCTTCATACTCTTGAGAGTAAATAGTCGTTAACTATAAAAAAAAATAAAGTGTGTAATACGTGTATTATTGAATTCAAGATTTAAATAATGGTATGACTTGATAAAAGTAGCAATAAATAATAAATATCACATTCTTATTTTATTCTAAGATGATAAATAACCTATATTTTTCAAAAGAGCTCCTTTTGGAATCAACTTAGTGCTACCGCAGTCAAACCGCCATACTATTTCCAAACCGACCCCAGACCGAGCGAATTTGGGGGTAATTTTCTGTCGTCTATCTCGTTGGTGTGATAGGTGTATTAATGTCATTTGTTTTGCTATGTAGGTTTAATGGCTGTGATCGAGGCCCGTACCCTAATAAAATTTTAAACCACACGTTGGGTTACACTTTTGTTCGAAACTGGATTTAACAAAGGTAATTAGTCTGGGGTCTTAGTATTCCTTTGTTAAATGTGATTTACCCAGAGTCGTGTTTACATGAGCGAGTAGAATAGGAGTCTATAGGGTTTTATGGAACTCGCTCCAGCGACATTTGACTAAATTCGTCAAATTTTTAACTACGTTTCTGGATCCAACAATATGGGCCTATCCTGATCTAATCCTGATCTAATCCTAATTCATAATCTCATTTAAAAACACAGTCGTTACCAATGTTATCTTTGAACAACGAAATTTAGAAGAATTCGTACAAAATAAAGATACCCTGGAGGCCCCCCCCCCCCCTGTTATTTAGGGTACGCGTATGCATGCACGATCTGCGCTTATCATCATGACGTCATCGATCACCCTCCCAGCGTAGGGGGTTTCCCCTGCTCACACCTTTTGATGTCTTATTGCTTTTCATTCATGCACGTGGTACGTATCAGGCAAGGTATATAGTCTTCAAATATAGGCATCTTACCAAGGAGATGCAATCTAGTTTTACACTTTTTTAAAAGACTTGGTGGATTAAATTGACATAAGAATACCCAAGGAAGGATGATCAACTTTGCATTTCCCCTTGTTTAGCTTATCGCCGATTTTAGATGACATGGGTTTCAGTTTCACAATATTGTTATTTCTGATCAGGAGATTGTGGTATTGAGCAAAAGTGCGGAGCGCACAATCTTCCGCTCGCGGACAATGCGAAGCTGTAGGTTGTGCATGAATGGGTTTGTGTACATTGTGTGTGCGTGAGCTGGTCATTGTAATGCTGTTCAATTTGCAGAGTGAAATATTGTTTCCAAATATTTCTCTACCAGTATTGTTCACGTAATGCCTGACAGTTCAACAAACAAATGAGTAGAAACTGAGTTTGGTTTCTACGTCATTGTGAGTGTTTATATTGCTGTAATTTTTGAAAACGATTCATTATTCGGATTAATCTCGGCGGAAATTAAACCTGTGTTGGATGTTTGTGTGTGATTCTCTTGCGCGTTGTTAGAAAAGGTGTTAGGCCCATTGGTTGAAGTGATGACTAGCCGAAAGTCCGGGGAGCCTTCCGTTGCTTGGTCACGGGTAGGGATGCGGGTGATATGGTTTGCTCATCTACTGGCATCGTGCTTCGTTCATGGTAAGCTGCCTTGCATGTTTTGAGGTTCCATTCTTTCATCCTTTCTTTTTCCCTATACTCTCTAGCTTTCTTTCTTTCTAGCTTTCTTTCTTTCTTACTTACTTTTTAGCATTCTTTCTTTCTCTCTTACTTTCTAGCTTTCTCTCTTTCTTTCTTACTCTCTTTCTTTCTTTCTTTCTTTCTTTCTTTTCTTACTTACTTCCTAAGCTTTCTCTTTCTTTCTTTATGGTTTATGTTGATTTCTTTCTGTCTGCCAAATAAATGTGATTTGTCTAGAGTGGTTTGTGAAATTAAAGGCTAATTCCTACTAGCTCTATACTTGTGCTAGGCCATTTAAATTAGAGGGAGGGGGGGGGGGGCGGTGCCAACTGTTTAAAAATGAGACCCCCCCCCCCCGACAACCCCTTAGTGCCTCAACAAGGCATTGAAAGGTCTTGTCAGATGAGGGAGGGGGGGGGGGTGTAGAATAGTTATGAATAAAAGGATGTAAAGAACAGTCCTGTGCAGTGATCTTTCTTTTCTTAAAACTTTTTTTAGTTTTTTTTAAACAAGGTCATTCTCTACTCGCTGACTCAAAATGTAATTTGATATATATTGTATTGTGCCCTCTCATGCATATCTCTTTAGACTCCTTTCTAATGCACCAATCTCATTCCTCATCTTCTTCTCAATCCCCCATGCATCTCATCCTTTTGTAATATTTTATGTCACTTCTTTTTTGGCATTGTCTAGTTGACCGTGTTATATCTTTTTCATGTCAAAGTTCCCTCTTGTCCTGTTCTTGTCTCTGTTGGCATATCCCCCTTTTTATATTTCTAGTTCCTTGTGTAGTTACAAATTTTGGTAATTTAATTACTCACTATTAATTCCTAACTATCAAATTTTGAGGGGTCCATGATTGTACCAGCATTGCTTTTTAGTGGACCCCTCTGTCTCCAATATGTATTCCTTAATTGTTGTACATTTAAATGATCATAATTGATTTGTAATGTTTTGTTGGAAACAGAAATATAATTGAATTGAACAGAAAAATTGAATTTAAAATCTATGATCATACGTACATGTGTAGTATAAGCAATTGATTAAAAAGAAGATTTTTCTTCTAAACCTTGTCTTGTAATGAATAAAATTCAATGTGTTCAATACAAATACTAAAAGGTTATCATTGGTAAATAGAAACGACCACTTGTAAATAACGGAAACGACCGATTAAAACTCATCAAGCTCCCCGAAACAGAACAGATATATGATCCATTAAAACTGAGCCTTGCTGATCATCATTGGCATGCAAGGCAATGAAAAACAATGAGTATGCACAGCTTGGAGAATTTTTGTCAGAGAGCCAACATTTCTTGAAACAGATACCTAGGTTAATGCACTATGGCGTATGGGTTGTTATTATAAGAGGTAACTGAATACCAGACTAGCGTACATGTACATGTAGGTATAGATGTTGCATTGAAATGTCATAGTGTAGAACATTATTCATTAATACCTTTACCTTTTACCTTTTTTCTTCCTGGATAATTGCATAGACTATAAAGCTGACAGCATGAATTTGCTGCTGTTTTGCTGTTTTAGAGACACCATTATCAGTAATATTGTTTGAACAGTAATGAAAGGGAGAACAAAAACTCTAATTGAAATGACAAGTCACATGCACGAGTGGTTGTAATGAAATGAATTTGAATAGGATGTGTTTTGCTTTGAATGAAAATTATTGCCTGATGGCACGCATCTGGAGCATGTATATTGTTAAAGCCCCACTGTCCTACTTGTAGCTACTTGCTCCCTCTATATATAGAAAACTTCCCTAATCAGTGCCTGTTGGTCCCCCATGATCCTCTTTTTCTTATGTTAGTTGAGAGCTGAGTTAATGAGATAGCCACCTGTCAGCAACCTCACTGTGTGGTCTAATCCCTTCTGGCCCAGTAGTTTTGACAGTCTTTAAATAGTAAAATTGGGTTTATACTGGTAGGAAAATTTTTACTCATAAAAATTAATGCTTGTGCTCATGTTTTTGGAAAGAAGATGATTTCAGAAAGTGAATAACAGTTTAAAATGAAATTAGTTGTTTTGTAATTTGAAACAGTTGGAAAAGGGTATTGAATCTATTTGAACAAATGGGTATCTGGCTATTGATTTCAAATGTTTATGTCTTAATGACTAATGCCTAATTTTGAATGTATAAAAGTATTACAGTGCTGAAGTTCAAAGTAAAATCAAAAGAAAGAAAGTGTTCTATGTACTTTTAAATAACCTTCTCTGGTTTATCCACCACATTTCAAAGAATGGTGGAAGTAACTACATGTATTTCTAAAAATAGAACATTAGTTCCTTGTTTTATCTAAAGTACATTTACATCATAAAGGGAAAGTCCACCCAGGCATCAAGTTGACTTTAATAAATTCAGAGAAATACGAAAAAGAAACCAGTAACATTTTGAGTAAAATCTGATTCTGATGTGTTATAGGCTGCATGTACATTATAGGTAGCCTTGAATATATAGCAGAAACTACAGAATTTTTGATTTCTGAGGCCTTTGTTCATTTATTTCATAGACATTAGAAAGGCATTATTGTTTCATTGACAGGTTGTGCAATGTAGGTTGCCTACATAAGGGTGTAAATGATGTACATTTGTAAATGGCTCTAAATGGCCTGTCAACAGTATTTTTTTAAGGAAAAGTGCTCCATATTTGTTAGAAAATATGAAGAATCTAGAGAGTGACTATGAGACAGAAAATGAGAGAGAGAGAGAGAGAGAGAGAGAGAGAGAGAGCAAGGGGGGTAGAAAAGAGGAGAGAGACAGTAAGAGAGATAGAGAGAGGTAGAGTGGAGAGAGAGAGAAAGAGAGAGAGAGAGAGTGAGAGAGAGAGAAAGAGAGGGATAGAGAGAGAGAGAGAGAGAGAGAGAGAGAGAGAGGGGGGGGGGGGGGGGGGAGGGAAATTTAGATGACAATCCTAAATTTAGAAGTGACATAATTATATGGTTTCCACTTTGTCATTGAAACGTCCTTCATGAGCAACTGTCTGTGCAAAATGGTTACAGCAAAATATTTGTTCAATTTTACTCCTCCATGTTTGCACTCCTTAATAGGTTTTTTTTTGTGTGGTCAAACATCACAACAAATTAATTCTAGCCTCCACACATAATGTGGTCATTAATTCTGTCTCTTGTGTCTGCATGAGCACATAGGTTCTATGTAGAATATGATCATTAACCTTAAATAATGGCGAAAATAGGGGCAGGGGCTCTGATCTAATATATCACTTGTACAGTTATGAATCTGTACTTTTTATGCTAGCTTTTATATCAAAATTACATTAGAAAATTGCTTATTATTAAGAAGATGCAAGAGGTAATAGGAGATACGACAAGGAGAGGGTTGTAACAAAGAGAGTTTATGACTTGGGGGTACTTAAGAGAAACTAAAAGAATCATTAACAGAAACAGGAAAGAGATTCTTTGCATCTCTAATGTTTTTTTGCATTAATGTACTTTATATCTTTTCGAAGAATGATGTACATGTATCTTGATACTGATTCATGTGTAAATTCATTATCAGACATGGACACATCATAAGTTGTATGTGCCTTACATTCCTACCTTGATTATCTGATGGTATATATCTGTTTAATAATTATGCCATTCACAGAAGAAAAAAAATTGGCTGTGGAAATAGCCCTCATTCACATTTCAAATAAATTTCAGGTCACAGAAGTTAATGGTTCTACAATATCCAAGGACGAATTGGAAATTTAATGCATTAATACACCTAGATAACTTGCCAAACTCTTATTATTGTTAATGAACTTTCTTTCATCACTCATCAATATTACCAATCATAGACCTGACACTCTCACTTTATTTCAAAATAGCCTAAATGATTGCCTAAAAGATTTTGATTCTTTTGGGGTATATCAGAACAGATAATGATAGGAGGATGGGGGATAAGATTCCCAATAGTGTAACATGAAGATGAGGGCTGGGAAGAGGGATTGGATATTTGTTATTACTTTTTTTTTGGTTTTTTTGTGAGGTCAGCAAAAAAGCCATTAGCATTCCAGCCATCTTTTAAATGAATTATTTTGAAATTTGTTTATGTGTAGATCTATGTACATTTTATCAACGAAATAGAACCAACCGACCCACTTTCGGTTTTTTTCCCTCTCACTCAGGACAAACCTACATATATACCACTAGTAGAGGATATACAAGCACAGAGACTGATAACCCTTTCTTTGAGTGCTACAGGAGTTCTCCTTCTTTGAATGCTGCTGTGTCTAGAGGGAGGTATGCCTATGTATTCAATGATATAAATGACCCAGCTAATGATGATCCACCGCTCAGTATCCCCTTCACTGCTGGTAATCCACCAGTTCAAGCCTACAGAATAGATCTAGACACAACCAATCACAGGTCGTACGGTGCCTTCTACTGTGCTGCATCCCTGGATGGAGAACGCTCTGTTGTACCGACACTCTTCTTGAGATCTGATGGTAAGTGGTATGATTTGTTATATTTCTCTGAAGAGTAGATGTTAAATACAAACAAACAAATATAACCATATGTACATTTCCCTGTCTCACTAAATGTTACATTTCATAGCACAAATCTAAACCATTCATATGTTTTTTTTAAAAATACTTAAGAGACCTGTAGTAAAGCACAGACATATTAGGTTAGACCATCTACATACACTGTATGTTCTAAACACATCCATATAAATTCCAAATTTGTACCATAGCAAAATAATTAAGGAGTTAAAATGTTTCATGGTCCAAAATGAGTAGAGATAACAACAAATTTATCATATGAGAATAATATTGGGAATAAACAGAACTATAGCATTAGAAAAAAGAAGTATTCGTTGGTGAGATATAACCCCCCCCCCCCAACTAGAAATTGCACAGCTAGCACCTGATAATTTCACAGCACATTTTGTGAGTTTGACACCTTTTTTAATGTTGTCGTGGAGTCATGTATATTTTTTGTCAGCCAGAAAATGGAGAATGATTATAGTTTTTGTTAAAGACAAACAGTAACATTTATTTTCTGAATTGTTTTTATATTTTTGTTCATTATCTACTAATATATCGTCGCTGTTTTCACGAAGTGACGGTAGTGAAAAAAAATTGCATTCACTTTGCGTGACGATTTTCCTCACTACCGTCACTTCGTGAAAATAGGGACGATATGATTGATCTGTTTTATTTGAATTTTTATCCAAATCAAAGCCTTAAATGGCATGACTCATGAACCAAACAAGCAATTCAGTCTATAAACTATAGGATTTGCAAGCATGAATGAAAAACATGTGAATTTAAATGTATTTTGATTATTTATTTTGCATTTGAGTATATGAGGGTAAATGATGATCATGAAAGGCTTCCTATTTACTAGCTATCCCTCTTCAGATATTAATAACTTATTCATGTATATATTTATGAACAAACAAAAATGTGCAGTTTTTTAACTTATGTTCTCATAGTGATTTGAGAGGCATTTGCAACATTTCCAGAAATCACCTGCTCTGCAACCAAAACCTCGAGGGAAGAGAATATCACTAGCGATATTATTTTCCATACTACATCCGCAATGAGTAATATATTTAGCATTATTGAGAAGGACATTGATGCCCAAGACTTTTTAATCCAGCAAATAAGTATAAATAGTGTTCAATTTGTGTTTAAAAATAAGTTTAGTGGACTATTTGGACTAAAACACTAACTTTATTCTTCTTAATTAAATGGAATATTTGCACATTCACTACATTTATACAGAATGATATGGAAGCCTTGTGGTGTTGAAGTGAAGTCTAAAAGTAATTATAAATTTGATTTTCTTTTGACGTTGTGAATATATGGTGTACTTAAACAATCCACAAACTTATTATTCATTTATTTGTTTTTTCAGCTAAGTTTGAGCCTACAAGTGGCAGGTTTTCAAAGACTGTCAACAAGGGGGATGTGAATGTTACAGTTGATTTTACTGAGCTTACTCCTAGTGAGACGGAAAAGAACTGGAGGTTTAATGGTACAACTGACTCTTCTGTAACTATCTCTTACCGCACGATCTTTGAGGGATTGACTGTCTACACAATCATAGGAGAGGTAGACACCTCACATGGTGGTGTTTATGAGCTTCATTTGATGAATGGGAGGGGACAAGCAAGAGCTGGACTACTCCGATTAATTGTGAGAGGTAGGTCACATGTGAGAACATAATAAAGAAGATATTTAGATGATTAGAATTATGAATATTGTCATGGTTTTTTGATAGATTAATTAGATAAATATAAAGATGAATAGACAGACAGGCAGAAAGATAGAAAGGGATTGAGATATATGAGAAGAGGGAGAATTTTGAAGTATTATGATAACTTCATTTTAAAATCATTTAAGAAAAATGAAAGATATATATTTTCAGAGAGAGAGAGAGAGAGAGAGAGAGAGAAGTATCATACCTTGAAATAATACCCTTTACTGTAATATCCCCATTCTTAATCCATTCATTACCATGCCTGCAGTAACCTAGGTCAGACCCCATGAGAAGTACAGTATATGTTATCATTAAGAAAGGTATACCAATGAGGTAGGATGAGCTTCTTGGGTGTACAGGTTTTATGTCTAGTTAGCTTCAAGTACCTGAATTATGTCTTCTAAATTTTCATCTGAAGTGGATAAGGACTTGTGTTATTGATAAATCATCATAGCTATTCCTGAAATGTAATAATAATAATAATAATAGTAGGTTCTTCTAGCGCTCATGTCTGTCAAATTTGATACTCCTGGCCTTCCACAATTATTAACCCAGCTTTAGCATAGCTGCCATTATGGCACACTTGCCTTTCAATTAAGTATCAATTCCTGCCAGGTACCCATTTACCTCATCTGGGTCAAGTGTGGCAAATGCATATTAATGTCTTGCCAAAAGACATTGGTGCCATGGCAGACCTCGAACCGAAGTGACATATATTCACTATAATATGGCACCTCCATATCTTTTATGCATTTGTACAGTTAGTCAGAATATCACACATGGATACAAGAGGTAACCATTCTAATATTGTTATCATATTTTTCAGCGTGTCCTGCTGGTCGCTATGATGAATCTAATGGATGTACCCAGATATGTCCATCATGTTACAATGGAGGAATCTGTCATGATCAAACAGGGATATGCATCTGTCCTCCAGGATTCCAGGGAGATGGATGTGAAATGGGTAAGAGTATATCCAGAGACCTTTCATAGAATTTACTTTTCATTTACCTGTCATATCAACAGGGCTTGTAATAGCCTGGGGTACAGGACAACCAAAGTAAAAATTACATGTACCAGCTAGTAATCAAACAAAGTGTAAGGAAACTAAGTAGCCTCTATACAGCTTAAGCCCCAGTCCCATATAAAGCCGGACCAGCACGGACGAGCACGGACCACTCCGGACCATCCCGGACCATGGTCTGGGGTGATCCGGGATGGTCCGGGATGTTTTGTTCAAAAAAGTGTGATGCAGTTAGACCTGGGATGGCGGTGTTCCAGAATGCATTTTTTACAGTCTGTATGCAGGAGCCCTAGTTTACAAATTTACACATTTGGCGGGTCCAGACTTTTTGGGGATCCATTTATCCGAGGCACCTGTTAGTGTCGAGCTCTGCAGGCTTTTGTCATTGGTCCCATCTTCTTATATATTGTGACCCACTGTCTCTAGATCCCATCAGGCTTATATCATATATCATATTGTGGTATGTAATATACAATTTAAAGAATATTATAATTTTTAAAACATATTGATTAAGTATTATTCGTCTGATCATCCTTAACCATATCATAATGGTAACAGAATCCTACTAATCTAATCATAAATCTAACTCACAATTGTGTGTGCTTCTGTGCAATATAAAGGAAGATTATAGGTAGGATCAACAAAAACAAATTGGTCCAAATTCAAAATTGTGCCTGTAGAACTGTAATTATTGGGGAAAGTATACTTTCTGCTCTTGATGGTGTTGTTCATATATTCCAATTTACATTAAATTGTATTTTTCATGTACTCTCCCAGCGCCTTGAGCATTTTGGGTAATGAATATGGAGCTCAGCATTATTTAGCAGTCATCATTATTTAGTATCAGTAGTAGTAGCAGTAGTGGTATGTTGTTATAACATTTTAGTGTATTAATAGATTACAAGTTATTAATATCTATCTTCTTTATCTGTTGCCTACATGTAGCATGCGGTGGAAATCGCTATGGTCGTAATTGCGAGTACAGATGCGACTACGAGCTTTCAGATGATATCACAGCATGTAGTGGACTTCAGGTTTGTGTGCCCGATCCCTATGGATGTTCATGTACACCAGGATACAAAGGATTGGACTGTACTACAGGTATGTAACCAATAGAAGGAAGTGAAATACTGTCAATTGGGTTATTGTCATGGAACATTGAATCTTCACTCATTTGGCACAAATGGGAATTAGCACACAAACATCAAATATGAATTTGTAACTATTTATAGCTCTTTTTTCTATGACTCTAATCATTACCTGTCAAGGTGGACTACTCTGCTGTCCTCTTTAAATACCTTTTCGATTTATTCTTCCTTTCTTTCTTTCGCTTTCCCTATCTTCCCTCTTTACTTCCTTCCCAGAACTTTCTTACCTATCAAAAGCATGTCACCTCTCTCTTCCCCCACCTTTTGTCTCTCTCTATCCCTCTCTCTCTCTCTTTCTTTCTTTCTCTCCCTCCCTCCCTCTCTCTCTCCCTCTCTCTCTCTCTCTCACTGACTCTAGTCTACCGCCCTCGGTCATCAATGTACTCCATGTTAATTACCACATTGTTTTCATAGGATAAAAGTAAATTACAATAAAACACCTATATCTAAATTATATCTATGTAACTAATATTCCTAAAATGTTAATTACCTTCAATATATTATCTCATTGAACTATGTATGATATTGGTATAAACAACTGTATGTTTTATGTTTATATGTTAAGCCTTGCTTTGGAAAATCCACAGCCCTGTTCAATTACATTCTATTTGTACCACCTTCTATTTTGATAGATATATACAACACAGCTTTACACTAATTTTTTTAGAAGATTAAATGTTTTTTAGTCTGTATATGAGCCCTATGTACACATTTTGACATATTGGTCCACAGCTAAGTACTTGATAATGATCTACAAAACTGCACAACAGATATTTATCTCTAAACAACAAGAATGTGACAATACAGCAGGGGTGTACTTTAATGTGGTTCTTAAAAAATTGTTTTCTCTTATAACAAACACTAATTAGAATGTGATCAAGGTGAGTTTGGAGCCAGTTGTACGGAGAAATGTCACTGTGTATCAGAAGAGTGTGATGGATTTACTGGAGTCTGTACAGGAAGCTCTACTGAATGTGAACCAGGATGGACAGGGACCAACTGCCAAGGTCAGTCTAACAATCTATCAGTGTTGCCAACTTAAAGAGAAGGTTGAGTTCTGTGTAGAGGTGAAAAATAATTGGTGACTGTTTTCATTGTTATTATGCAAGTGTGGATATATCGAAGAAAATCAGAGAAAAAATGTTCCCTGCAAAGCATGACTCTTCAAATGACTTCATATTCTTAATATGAGGACCACATTTTTACACCACATATGTTTGTGTAGTTCCATATACATCTTTCTGTGTACAGTGCTTGTTACTTTTACCAAGACTGGGCCAAAGTTCTTATCATTTTGATGATTCCCGAACCTTGTAGTGCACACCGATACTAATATGCCAAATAATCCACTTTTTCTGATCGATTCCACATCGTTTCTTTTACAATGCAATCGCATGACCAGAACTCAACTTTATCTTCAAGTATTGATTATAATATTGCTAGTTTTGTTGTCTGGTGTACATGTATATGCAATGTTTACACCTATGAGTGTATTTTGGTCCTTGTCACTACTTTGATTTGATTTGAACTGGTTTATCGATTAAAACACATACATTCAAAATAGCAGCTAGAGGCTGAAACAAATTGAATTGCAAAAGATTTTAGAAATATATTACATTGAAAATTGATTCGATAAAATATAGTAATATGCACAGTAATATAGATTGCACACAAAATCAACAAGTAAATGGTAAAGATAGGGAAATGAAAAGGACAGACGAGATACAGCTTGAAATAGAAGAAGAGGGAGAAAATTAAGACATTAGATAGACATTGAAGTAATAACAACATAGTTTCAACCAATGATTGGAACAAATAAATTGTGCTATATATTAAATACAATTATCTAAAGGATTGCAAGTTGTGAGTTATAGGGGTGATTTGATACAGATGTACTGATCCAGTCAGTGTTACAAGTATTTTTTCTGAACATAAAAATGGGAATTTTCAGCTGTAGTGTCTTTTAAGATGAGTTAGTCACTACGACTTATATTACTCCTCTTAAAAGACACTACATGTGTAGTGGAAGGATTTCAACTCCCAGTGTCCATGGCATTGTAATGATTTATGATAAATGTTCAGATTGTTTTTGTGTAGTATGAAGTAAATCTATTCTCTCACCTAATGTCTTCTGCTTGGTTGCAGATAATTTATTTCAATTATTTTTATATTTCAGAATGCATGATTGGCAGATATGGGCCTAATTGTGAGCGTAAGTATAATTGCAATATTATATAAATATTGCATGCTCGCACTTTAAAATAACAAAATATACGAACCAACAAATTCTGAATTTGTTGGTTCATGTATTATTTATATTGAACAACGAGACGCATTGCAATACTTGATAAATAAAGTAAAGGGTATTTGCTGTCATTTGGACTCTAGGCCTCTCAATTTTATCTAGGCTGCCTTTGCGTCAGATGTGTGCAGATATTAGACGATGCAAACAATGGGTACGCGAAGGAAAGATACACATGTGTGCAGTCTAATTCACTTTTATACATGTTATATATCATATAAAAAAGGCCTGTGCGTGTATATCAAATTGTTGAGTATCACATGCCACGTTTTCAGTTAATCAGATACTCACTAACAAATATGCAAGAGGGATGTTGTTGGCTGAGACAAACATCTTGTGCCCTTCTTGTTCTCAGTAAAAAATACAGTTATTATTACTGATTTACATGTGTTAACTGTTATGGTAAACATGAATTTAGGGTAGTGATCTTTACTAATTCATGACACACTATTCAAAACATTGTCAAATCCTGAATTTCAAGTTATTTAATACTCTTATATATGTAAACAAATGAACATACTGTGTTGGAAAAAGAATGAACAAAGCTTGAGCAGAGCTTCTTTTTTTATTAAATACCCCCCTCTATGCACAATTAAGTCTGCCATCATGATCAATTACCAGTTTGTGTTCAAACCATATAGTAAAGTTTATATTCATTCAATGAAACTTGCATACATTGTAAATTTATTGCAAATAAACAGAAGCAATTTAATTCCAAGTGAAAATTACCATCTGTTAATTTTAGAGGAAAACAAGATACAATTAATATGTCTCACTTTAAAAAACAAATATGACGTATTAAATGTTGCAAGGTTTGAAAATGTAGACATAACTACAATCTGCCTTGGACTGGAACTGCTAATAGTAGGTCATAAGTATTAGTCTAACTGTATAATTTATTAAATTGGCAGTCTGCATGTAGTGATAAACATGAACCTGCTGGGGAGGTATTAAGAAAACATATCCTGTATCCTGAAAACATTATCTTGCATAGCTGCGTCAGTTTAATTATCTTTCATTTTCATTTGGTAGCTTTCACGGTTAGTTATGAAAAGACCAACAAGGGACAGCTCACCAATTTCATCTGTTGCCTGGAAGGTGGAAATCTCATCTCCACGGCTCCAGTGGTCAATCTCTACAGGAAATTCGGCATCGGAAATTATACACAAGAAAACATAATAAAAAATGGAAATGGAGTCCCCCCAATTGCAAAGTTTCTATTTCTCGTGCGTGATGTGAAAGTTGGAGAAATATTTGTCTGCTCTCTCTCTGATGTGAACATCTTCTTTAGTGACAATATGACTACCGATGGGGAATTTAGTAAGTTGATGGATGTAGTTTTGTAATATACAAACACATTACTATGTTTTAATGATCAAATACAATTTTTTCTTCAGGGAATCCCCCCCCCCCCATGCACCATCATTATATGCATGTTCCTCATGATACTGTCATTGGCAGACAGACACCTTTATAAATAAAAGAAATATAATAATTAAAGGAAGTTTTGTTTAATTCACTGATTTTAGTTATGTACCTCATTACCAGAACTCATTACTACAAATGATGATGCTTGTGTAGGATGAACTGGATTCTCTCTTTCCCATAGACTAAACACAGGGACCAGCTGGTTGCAGTATAATAATAATAATAATAATAAAAACGTTACTTATAAAGCGCTTACCACCGAAGTCTCTAAGCGCAATGGGTCAATTCCAATACTGGTTTCAGAGGTCAGATATTAAACTCTGTATAAGCTTGCTGTGAGCTGTTTCCAGATATTTGTGACTGAAGAAAGCCTTACTGGTATTCTTTTTGGAAAACAGGAGAAATAATTTTCGAATTTGTCAAAGTAGCCTGTTGAATTTAAGAAATATTTGCCCAACACTCTGCTATTTATCTAACACGATTTGAAATAACCATTTGAATTCAGGGATACTCTGTTCTTTTCAATCTTCCCTATTTCATTGAATATTTGGTTTTATCTCACTGTAGCCCAGCCTGAACTCCCTAGTGCACCCGTCGTGAGCAGAGCAACCAATGAATCAGTTACTCTGATGTGGGATGCCTGGGATGCATCAACAGATATAGGTGATCCTCCTCTCGTCGGGTACCGTGTCTACTACATGCTGAACAACTCAATAGCAGATTATCAAGAAGTTATCAGGTCTGACCGCCTAGCACCATCTGAAACAGTGACTGGTCTAAGTCCAGATACGGCCTACATGTTTGGTGTAGCAGCATTTAGACCTGGACCAGGAGGCCAGGGAGGCCGATTTGAGGTAGTAGGAACCACCCAATGCTCACGTAAGTTCTTAATGCTTAATATGATCTCAGATTTTAAAAAAAATTCTGCAGCATGTTCAGCTTTCTTTAGTAAGGTATATTCAATGTAATTTTACATTGTAACTTAATACTACACTGCATCTTTTCTTGAAAATTTATCCTTTCATGTTTGTGCCCATTTCTCATTTATTTAAACTGAAAAGAATATATCAACTAATAATATATCAATGAAATTATTTGTCTGATTTTGTGTGCATCAACAATCCCATTTAAAAAAGATATTCAATAATACAAAACTATTAAATGTAATGCTCAGTAGAATGAAATACCTGCTAGTATTCATTTATGTGTTCGCAATATCGGTAAATTTGTTTATGACATTAAACATCTAGTCTCATAATGAAAGCCTATTTATAACAAGCTGATTGTCTCAAAACAATATGGACTAGATTCATCTTTCACAGGTAGGTTAAACACAGCTGCATTAAAGGTATTACAAAATTTTGTTAAATTTTGAAAATTGGCTGGATAGTGATTCTTTACAGTTGTGATATATTTGGATGCCCCTATGGATGTATTATAAGCACTAACAAAATTAGCTCCTAAAACACTTCTGCTTTCAAGAAAACTTGAATATAAAAATTTATCGGTGCTCCTGGTAAGTTTTATAAATTTCAAATAGCGCCTACAGCCATATACGATGGTAGCTGCGACCATGACAATCTCAGAATATGCATTTGTGATATATATATTCCAAACGGCTATAGCAAATTGGTCGATTTTAGTCAAATAACATTGTTATATAGCTAAATTAATATCTTAACCTTGAGAGGGCGCTATACAACATAAAGAGTTTATTATTTACAATTTAATCACTTTCATAGACTCGATTTCAACCGCGACAACGATCACTGAATATTGTAGGATCGCATATGCTTCCAATATGTTCATTTAATTCATGACCGCATACCAAAACTTTGTATTACCTTTAAACTGTTCAGTACCATAAATTGGCTGGTTTGTAACACAGAAATGATCATTTAGGCAGTTTTAAGTGCCAAAATTTTGACAAAAAACTTGAATAATTTGTAATATTTTCTTGAAATTCAAAACAGGCTAATGACTTATCAAGCTGCTAATGAAATACTACTTTCGTATTTACAAACACTTGAAAACTAAACCATGATGAAAATTCACCGCATAAAATCTTAGATCGGTTAAAGCTAATTCTTAACTACATTGCAATGTATTGGATTAAATGTTGTCTAGTGCAACAAACCACTAGATATGGAATTAAGAATGTTTAAATAATAAAAAATATTTGGTCTTATTTTTATTGTGCATGTATACACTGTAGCTCCTAGTGAAGGACTGTCATCCGTTAATGTCACTAATGGGACTAGACCTGGAGAATTCTTGGTATCTTGGGAGGTAAGCTAATTGTTATTCCAGATATGTTGAGCACGAGTAGTTTAATCTTTTGACTGGTAAGGTGAATGTCCTATCTTGGCAAGGCATTTGTCTACATTTGCCATTCTCGACCCAGGCCTCAAATTAAACCTGGTAGGAAGGAATTCCTTGAATGCTGGGAGCAATGAAATTGGTAAACTAGCTACAGGTTACTAGAACCTGGTGTATATGAGCAATGTAAATGAGAAATTTTTCAATTATGATTTTTATAACATTTTAAACCTTTAAGAGATTTTCACCTCCCAAATCTCTGCAACAGCAAATTCAGTACTCAGGAATGTTAATGGACTATAGTGTCAATCAGGATACAGCTATATTTTGTCTCCCCAGAAGGGATGTGGGAAAACCATGAAGCTAATTCTTTCCATATGGAATATTGTATTCTTTATTTAAAAATTAAACTAAAAACTATGATTTACAATTTTTGAATTTTGTAAGGCTTTTGTATCTTTTTATCTCGTAGAATCCTCCATCCAATACTTCTAGCTGTGCCAGTGGAGTGGGAGGAATCCGCATCTACTTCACCCGGTCTGACATCCAGTCTGGGATCTCAAAGAGGGCGGCTGACCCCAATGAGAACTCTGTTGATATTCCCTTTGATCCCCCAACGTCTGAACACACCCTGACCCTTGAACCGTACTCCCAGTATCTCATCCAGGTTGTAGTCTACAATAAAGACTCTGAGACGCCAAGAGGAGAGGGCTTTACACAGATCACAGAGGAAATGCGTAAGAGGAAATACAGCGTAATTTGTATAAATAGTCATGAAATGAGAATGCTTGTATGTGAAGTAATAGATTGAAACTACATGCACAAATCATTTTTAAAATGTAATAATACTGAAGGAGGTATATGTCTATTAACATATTTTAAAGGTTAAATAAGATCATTTCTAAACATTATGAAACTTAAAAAGGCGCCACCATACATGTATCTTTTTAGAAATGATAAGGTTTTGTAAGATCTTACATTTAGATCACATAATTTTCTGTGTATCTTTCTATGTTTTATGATTACTAGTATGTTGTTTGTTGTGCCTGTATTCTTGTAGTCTTGCATAAACTTACAGGGGAAACTTGAGCTAGAGTGTTTGTGAATCTTAAATATAAATCCATAAAAATGATTCAACAAGTGAGTAGATAAGTATGGAAGGGAGCATTTAGCAACATGACCATGTGACTGTACTTTCTGTTTTTAGAAAACATTATAGAAAATTATATTTTGACTCTTTTTAGTAAACAAACTCAAACTCAGGGGAGTGAGAAGTCCTAAGACCAATTTTGAAGTCTTGAATCTGGTTATGAATTGAGATATATATCACTCATATAACATCTGACAACTCTAGCCTCTTGGATTTGTCTTTGCCTCAAATCAAAATGAATAAAAAAAAGGTTTTGAACTGCATAACCAGTTTATTTCAAACTATAAAACATAATACAACAAGATTTATACTGCCACAAATCCGGGAATTAGATTTATGATTTTATGCCTTTCGAGTATGTGCTTTAATCAGATAATTTCCATACTTCTTTTCAATGTTTTTTGTTTTTGTATTTGTAGTTGCCCCTGCGCCCACTGTAAGCGTTGAAGCGACCTCTGAAACTGTAATTGTGCGCTGGGATGCTGCTAGCCCTGCTCACCTCAATGGAGATGTACAGGGATACCAACTAAGATACACCCAGACAAAACCAGAACGACTTGATACAGTAATTGTTGATGTTGAGGGTAACAAGTATGAGATTACCGAAGGAGTGACAAAAGACAGTGAATTTGAAATTGAGGTAAAGTTCCTGCGTGCTGTCTCAAAGTAAAGGAAAATAATGATAAACGTAATACTTGACTTGTTGAGGGCCATGGACAACAACAATTGATTGCCTCAAAATACAAACAAGTCATTATTAGAATAACTGATTAAATTGTATGCAATTGTATGAATTAGGCAATTTCAACTTGTTCGTGGTAGTACCATTGCTTGCAATCCAATATTGTTTACTGCCTGAATAAGAGGCCATACAAGTTATGTATTGTCAAGTCTTCTTGGGGACAGCTTGGTGGTATGTTGGTTTACATTAAGTGAGGTTTTTTTTTATGTTAATATATTCCAGATGCCTGGAATGATTGATATGAATTTTAATACATTTTGTAAATTTCATCCCCTTTTCATCCCTCTTTTTTTCAGGTTCGAGTTTTGAATGGAGCTGGATACGGTGAATGGTCACCTTTAAAGACTTCATTGCTGGGTAAAAAAAAAAAAATTTATGATACAAAAATGAAATGGTCATCATGTCTTGGTAAAGTAACAATCCCTGACACAGAAAGATGTATATGGGACAACACACATGGTGTCGGGGCTAGTACTACCCTGATTTCCTTATCTTTCTATGCTCATTACTCAGCCAGTATACATTTTCTTCCAAAATTGTTTGGCACATGACATTTATTTGTAATCTTGAACATTCACATGTAAGTTTCGTTAGATTCTGTGAGAATTTATTTTCTTTTTTTACCAGAACTCAAGTTTATCTTTAATAAACTATATAAACAATTTCTCTTTAAAAAGTTTTAATAACTTATAATGTCAATGTTTATGCAATGTTTCCTCCTTCTTTCTCTATTTTCTCTATGTTCCTATTTTTCTTGTAATTTTGATTTACCGGTAAATTTTGTAGCAAAATTATTGTTACTTTGTATATTTTGTGAGGATAATTTTTAACAAGCAATTTATGTGCTTTTCATGATCCTCCCCCTTTAGAAATCTCATTGTACATGCATATGTTTGTATTTTGAATATTATATATCATAGTTTTTATCCTGACAGGGAAACAAAATAGCAATAACCTGTAATATAATATGGCTTTGATCAGACACAATGATACCTTCAATGATAATAATTGTCATAATGTATGGAACAAATATTACCAAATAGCTTTGACCTGCCCCTATACATACTCTTACATAGAGTTTTAGCCCCTCTGTACAAAGTGGTTAACCTGGGAGTCTGTTTTCATTTACAGAAGTATTATGTGCTCATGGGTAGAAATCCCTCTTCAAACATGAGGGGAACACGTGCATCTAAAGTTTTCTACCAAGAAAAAAAGAGGCCTTCAGGTTTTAGAGTGTATTATTGAATGGTTTATTAGAAATACTGAAATAGCAGCCCGAGAGCTGAATTACATTCAGTTTATAATAAAGGGGGTGGGGGTGCGATAAATAGATACAATTTTGAATGGGCATGGTTAATACCTGTCTGAGTCAACGTGGGTAATTTCAAGGAATATATGTCATTAAACTTACTTGTATAAATTTTTACTTTACTATATAGATACCGGTACTGCTGCATCCAATGTTCCCCTCATCGCTGGTATCGTGATAGGAATCATCGTTGTTATTCTTCTCATCATCATCATCGTCATGGCTCTACGAGCATGGTAACCACACTCTGCTTCATCAGTTATTCAGAGCATTAAGTAGCCTGTAATCCAGCTAACAATGGAAGTTACAAACTGACTTCAGCCGAGGACGCAGGTTCGAAACTGAGTCGCGTCTTTCGGATGGTGACGTTAAAAGTCGGTCCCCTGACGTAAATAATCATATCTCATTGATACACGTCTGTAAAAACCCAATTACATACACACACACACTACATATCGTTGTGGTCCTAATAGAGTCATGACTCGCCCTTTGTAACCCTAGCTGTTGATGATGGTTTTCCGCAGTGTTCTGTCTCAAGCCAAACGATGGGCTGAGATGAGTTAAAGACCTGTTAGTTTTCTTATTCCGTTCATCTAAGTTATGTATGCCTTGTCTTCTAATTGGCCTTCAGTGAATTCTTGCATAATTATCTTTTTAATGCTATTTATCATTATGCCGTCTACAAATGTGGCCTAAGTAATTCAATTCGCTACAATCAATCTATTGACACAGGGTAGTGTGTTCTCAGATTTAATTCTAACAAGTTCATTGGTATTATATATGTTTTAACATGTTGGTTACATTTCATATATCTATTTTTTTTACATACATGTGGGCCTATGCATCATTTCTTTAACAAGTAACTTTCCAATTGATTCTTTTGTTTTATTTAACAGCAAAAGAAAGAGAGAAAAGAAGATAGGGGCAATGAATTCGACTGAGCTTGTGGACAATGTTCTCTATGAGTCCAATCTACCTCTTGATCATCAGAACAGCAACAATGCTGGTAGGTTGAAAGCAATTATTTGGTTTTTACCTTCACTGCATGTGAGGGAGGGTGGAATGATTGATACATAGAATTCTCAATAGTTTATGTGATAAAATGTTTCACAAAGTCATTAACTTGAAAGTTGTCTTATATGCTCTTTCTTGATGTACAGTGTATGGTCAAAATAAATAATAAACTGATACTTCTTTCAGTGAAGTACAGACCACCTTGATGTTGGTGTATAGTAGTATTTGATATTGTTGTATTATTCTATGAGAGATTCCTTCATTCAATGTTTTCTGCAATCCAGCACGTATCAACGACAAGCCGATAGTCCGCGATCCAGCAGAGACCGAGTATGCCTACATCAGCCATGAGAGCAACTCCCTTCTAAACGACGACCTGAACCTTGACATGACTATCAAAAAAGACACAACGTACGACGTCGCTATGGAGGCCCCGATTGCGTCCAATGGGAAGAGTCAAACACTGCCGTTGCTTTCAGGAGACATCACGTTAGACGCTCTCAATGCGCTCTATGCTAAACCTGAGAAGCGATCTCATGTGGTCTCGGTACCCAGTCTGTTGGCCCCTACGGTGAAGGAAGCAGGGACGGATACAACGGAAGGAGATATCTACGAGAATGTGAGCCTTCCTGGATCCATCGCCGTGGTCAACCTTGTGGAACATGTGGAGAAGAAGAAAGCCCAAGATCAAGATGGATTTGCTCATGAATTTGGTGTAAGTATGACTATCAGTATGCAGGACCCTTTTCTACATAGGGTCAGAATGTTAGAAGGACTCGTTAAGCCTCTTTCAGATATCAACTGTAAAAACTGTGTTTTTAAATGATGACGTTAAGTATACACTTCACATTTCTGTATCAATAACACAGAGCTAAGTGAATACGCATTTGATCTTTGTTGAGTGCAGTTACCATTCTTTCACACACAAGATGACTGGGTGGTTTGCAGCATCATATCTGAACGAGCCTATCTGTGTTTGATATGACCCTCAAGTCAGGAACAAGGTTTATGCTTCATCCATATTTCTCCATCTCAGAATTGTTTTAGGAAGGTTCATGCTTTATCATATGTTAATGCATTAATCCTCAATATCTAGTCACTCAGAGAGGACATAAAAGAATTGGCCTTCTGGTTACTTACTCACAAGCATACACATTTCGTTCAATGGTTGTGAATCTGTCAGTGTTATATTACTTTTGTTTATATGTCATGATTATGTTGTTTTTTATCGACGGCCCTGATTGAAACCAGTCTGCGAACTGTTTCGGACTTTTACCGTGTATAAATAAAATAAACACACTCACATGCTTTGTTAGCTCTCTGATAAAATAATCATTAAAATTCTTATAACTGTTTTAATTTTCATTGTTAGTTATTTTCTAGTCACTTTCTTATTCCTTATATTCTTACACTCCAGCAAAAATGTGAGATTTATTGTAATATGTATTTCAAAAAGCAAATTCTCTGTTGCTGTATTTTGCATTCATTACAAAATTTTAATTAAAACGATTTTCTATAAATTAATTTATGATCCTTTTTTTGAATTTCAGTTATTGCCTTCAGATGATGGTATCGCCAAAACAGTTGCTATGAAACCGGAAAACAAAGCCAAGAATCGATTCAAAAACATTGTTGCATGTGAGTTTATTTTTACTTTGACATAATGAAAGTATGAGTGTTGATGAGATGTACAAGTAAATGTACAAATGTATGTATCAATTTAAAACTGTGATATTTCCCATTCCCATAAATCCTAGCTGTTCATAGGGATTAGTATTTTCACAATGATTAATTGTAATCAATGCTGAAGCCCTTTGGTTTATACCTGGAAAATGACTACTGCCTCAAATATAATATATCAATGTGTTATATTTTATATATGAACGGTGACATTTTATAAGAATTTCCTTTCTATATCATTAGTCCAACTTCAGATATAATTATTAACTTTGTCTCTTACTTCCATGATAATTCTTTAAAATTGAAAATTGATATTACAAAGCGAGAGCTGAGGCGATAATTTACATATCACATTGGAATCAGCTTTTAATTGCTTCTAGAATAAATATCACAATGTATGTGTGTTACAGAACAGCTGATTACTATTATTATTCACATTTAAAAATGTAAGAGAGATAATATTTGGTAAAAATGATTAACCTGTTTCTTTTCTTGGTTTGTAGTTGATCATTCCAGAGTAGTCCTCGAGACGTTGAAAGATGATCCTCACTCAGACTACTACAATGCTAATTACATACGGGTCAGTCGCATTTCCTATCATCTTCCAAAAGTATACTGAGATTCATGAAATAAATTTTTACTTCCATACCTTCTGTAAACACCATATTTCAGGTTTCCTTTAGTAACTTGTAACTGCCACAAGGAACTTGGAATTGCAAACTTAGTTGTGATATGGTTATTTTACAGGATGAAACTGCCACAAGTTTATTCCATTTTAAAAATTCATGAAATTCTCTGGGTTTACTGCACTGTCTTTTAAGTGTAATTGACTTTTCGTTCATCTATTAAAGTTCTTCATGCTGACATATGTACATGTAGTTTGAAAAGATTAAATAGGTAATCTTTATTGATATTTTGGTATTCTGACAAAATAAAGCTCACCATATCATTTGCCTTTGCCAGTACTATGTAATAGGAAAAATTAAGCCCACCATGGTACTACATAATGTTCCTTTTGAGTGAAGGAAGGGTAGAGACACAGAATATTATAAGAAAAGAATAAGAAGCGAATAAAAAGAAACAGAAGGTAACTGTAAAGAGCGAGAGATAGAGAGGGAGGGAGGGAGGGAGAGAGAGAGAGAGAGAGAGAAGGAGAGAGAGAGAGAGAGAGAGAGAGAGAGATAAAGAGTGGGAGGGAGAATAGAGAGAGAGAGAGATAAATAGAGGGAAAGAGAGAGGGAGGGTAGGGAGAGAGAGACAGAGAGAGAGAAAAAATTACCTAAGCGAATGAGAAGTGAGAGGTAGGAATATATGAATTGTAGAGACACAAACTAGAGGTCAATTTGGAATTTGATAGTGATAATATCTTCTTATTTTCAACAGGATGACAAGGGGAAGAAGACATTTATTGCTGCCCAAGGTATGTTTAAAGACATCATCTTCAAAATATGAAAATTATCTTTACTGAAGATTGTAATATTTGGGTTCATTCAAAATTAGTAAAATGATATTACAAATCTTTTGTGCCTATTACTATGTACATATATGTTAATCTGAAATAAGATCAATATGTTTTTTAGAAAGACACAGAAGATTTAATGGGAGAAAGCTTTTCGTTCAGGAATAATATATGCATTCATCACCTACATGTTTAAACATTTTGATTGAAATATTTCCCTAATGATCCTTCATTTCATAATGCTCTTTGTATTTCTGTCTACTCTCAGCCCCCAACACTGCAAGCATCAATGATTTCTGGAGACTCATTTGGCAGGAGAATGTATGTTCGGTTGTCATGGTTACAAACATCTTAGAGGGAGGCAAGGTAAGTAATCAATGATTTCATACACACAAATATGCCATACTTATAGATAAGACCTACATATTATTTGATTATAATGTAATGATGAGACCAATTAAGATAGCTTAGCTAGACGTAGTGGCATGCAAAGACAAACCCAGAACGCAAAATACATAATTGATTGAAATCATATTTTTTAACATATAGAGGTAGAAGCACATTGTTAGGATACTAGCTGGTAAATACGTGTACTGTCTTGATAAGGCTTAATGTTTACCTAAACTTTCATCACATATAAAAAAAAAAAAAAACTTTAATTCACAAACAACAAGTATTTTGCCTTTTGCATTCTGGACGCGTCTTTGTATGCTAGATCGAAAAAAATGAGATCTCACTAAAAAACAACACTGTACGCTATGATTTATAAATGTCAACTCAACATTTCTCTGCTCTGTACGACAGGATCGCTGCACAGTTTACTGGCCGAAGGAGATGGGTAAGAGCAAGACGTTTGGTGGGATTGAGGTCAAGCTGAGAACCATTGAAGAGTTCTCAGATCATGTGCACAGGGTTCTGGATGTTAAGCAGGTAAGAATTATGTTCTGGGGGGTGTTTCATAAAGCTGTTTGTAAAGTTACGCATGACCTTACTAACGACTTGAATATGAAGTGCCAGATAGGATGCCCAAATTTTTTCCTAATGTTTTCACAAAGTGTGACTATATTTCCTAAACCTTAATTAAATTATGGCAAAAAATATACTTTGCATTAAAAATGTTTGTTATCATAAGAATGTTAATCTACATCTGCACAGTTCAACTTTATTTGATGCAGTTGAAAAAGGATTGAGCATCCCATTTGGCTTTTCATATATAAGTCATTCATAAAGTCATGCGTAACTTTATGAACAGCTTTATGAAACACCCCCAGGCTCTAAACAGCGCAAGATAGGTGATGATAGCACTTTGGTCCCACCTGCTTTAAAAGATGATGTTCCTTTTCATAACAAATATTGTGTACCTTAATTAATTGTGATAATCTGAATGAAAGAATGAATGAAAACTTCCACTTTACCTTGACTGTTTCTTCATCCAACTTAGTCCAATCAGAGAATTAGTAGAGCGTCAGTATGTAGATGCCTAATCAAAGGCACTGATTATTAGAAAATAACCAATTAAATTCAGTGATTCCAGTAGTTAAAACAAAAATCAATTCCTATGAACAATTTTTATCAAACTGTGCTCTTGATTATGTTCTTTTCTCAGGTGAGTGGAGGTGAAACGAGGTCCGTCCACCAGTTCCACTACCAGTCCTGGCCTGATATGGGTGTTCCACAGTACCCTACCACACTCATCAGCTATACACAGACTGTCAAACATGTCCATGAACGAATCACTGCTAATACCAAGGGCTCCACACCCATGCTTGTTCACTGCAGGTGAGTTAGATCATGATTAAGAATGTGACCAGAAAATAGTTTTTTGAAACCTCAAAATAATGTGCTAATTAATGAGAACAAAAATATGCAGTGTAAAAGACAGTAATATTGGTGAATCAAATGTTGTAATTTGACATATCTGAATCACAGTTTTGGTAATATTTATCCCAATCGGGTCATTACAGCTACTAACCAGCTCCTTGTTACAATGACTTGGTTCTATCTGGATCCTTCATAAATATGATTTCCACAATAAATTAGTTTTTCTTGACACATCATTTAAACTTCAATTATTATTTTCTAAATAGTGCTGGTGTTGGGAGGACAGGAACGTTCATCTCACTTTACTGCATGCTAGCACAGGTCATAGAAGAGAGCAGGGTCGACATCTTTGGTTTCATTCAGAAGATGAGAAAAGACAGACCTAATATGGTCCAAACTGCTGTAAGTATCTATCATTTATTCTGCTCAGCTTTATATGATGGCCTGTACCATGATGGCCTGTATTACAAATAGATTTGACTTGATTACTTCCTACAGGATACTTCCTACAGGATACAGGATACAAGGCAACAGATGTAAGAACTTCATGAGTGTAAGATTGCCAACTGTTTCATGATGAAGATCTTGCCCACAGCCCAGTGTTGTTACATTTACAAGTTTAAACCCTTACAGCATTATAACGATACTACTACTACTACTACTACTACTACTACTACTACTACTACTAATACTACTACTGCTACTACTACTACTACTACTACTACTACTACTACTACTACTAATACTACTACTGCTACTACTACTACTACTTTTACTTCAACTGCTACTACTACAATGTATTACTACTGCTATTATGATAGTAGTTTGTGCTTTTATTTCTATGATGTGATTCATATATCTGTTCTTTATGTATTTTCCACTATCAGGACCAGTATATTCTCATCCATACTGCCCTAGTTGAGGCCTACATGAGTGGTAACACTGATGTTCCTGTCAGCAGTTTTGAAGCCAAGCTTTCCTCACTCCAAGAGAGGAATCCACTTACCCAGAAACTCAACATTGAACAGGAATTTGAGGTAAAACTGATGAGCAATAGTCCAATCAGCATTGTAATCTGTTCCTTTCTTGTAGAGATACTCTTGAACATTTTGAAGTTGTATTTTTTTTTTTTTTGGGGGGGGGGGAACTTTGCAGAGGTGTGTCTTAAATAACATCCTCTTTCGCATTACGATACAATTTAAGTGAAATTTTGCAATCAAATGCTTTGCAAATTTGAGGCTTCCAATAATTTAGGCTTTAACCTGTTGAGTACCGGTACTGAATTCTTTCATTCCCATAGGCTTTATACAGGGCCACCTGGTTCCCATTTGAAATGGGGTAATATCTTTTCTTACTATGTTTTGTTTTGAATCCATGATTTCTATTATAAATAGAATGTTTGCATGACTTGGTTAACACAACTTTAAACCAGCATTAAATGGCATTTTCCCCCGAATTGGGGTTCATTGCATCTTTCCTTCACCCCTATGTGGTTAATTTGCTGCTGTGTATCACCTCTGGGTTAACTCATTATCTTGAAAGTTTTTTTGTCTTTTTTCTACACTCCCACTGTCTATGTGATTGTTTTGATGCATGTGTTGTGTTTATGTAGTAGTGTTGCCTTTGTTTGTTGGTAGATCTTGAACCAGCTCACCCCTCCCGTCGGTCCACAAGCTTTCAAGGCTGCTGGTCTACCTGCCAACATTGACAAGAACAGATTCCCGAACGTTCTACCCAGTGAGTCTTCCTTCTTTACAGCATGCCACTTTAATCTCTTATTTGTTTTGAAGACCATATATCGACTCTTCCAAGCAAGAAAATGTCAGATAATGATAAACATTATTTATCACAGGCAGTTTAATAGTAGGCTTGAATGTATCAATAACAATAATATTCCACTTTTATATAGCGCTTAGTACATCTACAATGTCTCTAAGCGCTTTACAGATATACTATTACCCCGGTTATCGGATTCAATACCTGCCCGCACAATCTCAATGAAATTTATTTAAAATTTTATTAAAACATGACTACTTTTTTGTTTGTTTAAGGTCAGCATCTGTGTGAAGTGAATAACAGAGTTATGATTTATGTATTTTTTGCAGTTACCAGGCTCTTCTATTCTGAGCAGTATCATTTTTAAAATGTTATTACTATCAGTTGCCATGATTTGGCAACATTCTTTCCTTACTAATTGTACATGATTAAAGAGCATACAGCTGATATGTGGAGTACAGAACATTGTTTTTCGAAACTGTCATAAGTTCACTGACATCCCATCAAAAAGTTTGTTAAATGTTCGATGGGATGTCGGCAAACTTGTACTTATGACGGTTTCATGAAGCAATGCATTGGATACCAGCCTTGCACAGCAAAATTATTTCCTTTTACGTTTGCCTCAGCATATATTTATGACAAATTAAATGGTACCATATCTTTTTTTCAGTGGAGAAGAACAGACCATGCCTAGTGACAAAGGGAGAAGCAGGAAGCACAGACTATATCAATGCCTCTTTTCTCAATGTAAGTATGAGGTTAAAGGTATAGACCAGTTCTGGTCATGCGATTGCATTGTGAAAGAAACGTTATGGAATCGAAAAGGTTGATCATCTAGCATTTAAGAATTGGTGTGTACTGCAAGGTTCTTGAATCATCAAAATAATAAGAAATTTGGCTCAGTCTTGGTAAAGTTACAAGCACTGTACACAGAAAGATGTATATGGAACTATACACAAACATATGAGGCGTAAAAATGTGGTCCTCATATTTAGAATACAGAGAGATGTATATATGGAACTACCCGATATTTATCCAGTCCGGATAGATATAATAATTTACCAAATATATCAATTAGTAGGCGGTTTTCAAAACATATTCTTTCACATGATTGGTAATAAGAGCTTCCATTTTATTTTTTGAGAGGGGGGCGTTTTCAAAACTGGTTATACCTTTAAAATCTTTCAAATTAATCCTCTTGACTTACACAATGCACCCTTTTCATTAATTTATACTCAATGTTTGAGTGCTATAATGTTTTTTTGCGATTCTCCATGAAGAAGGTCCTGAACTACATGTACCACCAAACCCCTATGACAACTACTCCTAGAGAAATGTTCCCACACACAAGGGCTTAGAAGCTCTTGAGTTGTTTTGGATGGAGATGGAGGTGATATTTATCCGAAGGGGTTGCTGTTAATTGGCCTGGTAGTGTCCTTTTCCTGACACATTCATGTATATCGACAGTTTGGGTTTTTTCCATGGTTATTTGTTGGATTTATAGAGTGAAAATATTTTCATGGCATTAAAATTTCAAATGGAGGCACCTAAGTTCGATTATGAAAGAAGAGTGTATCCCTGTCTTTGGTCAAAATACATCGTTTAACACAAAACTTTTGGGCTGGGTATGCAGTATATGGTATGGAAAGATGTGATTGGAGTGTTGAAATGCAATCTCCTCTCCAAGACAATTTATTTCAAATATAAATATATTAATAATAAGTAATTATTATTGTTATTAATTATTATTAGTAATAAATGAACAGATGATGTCATTTATTCTTTGAGAAAAATATTCAAAATATACATTCATCAACATCTCTAAAAGCTATGTTTTGGGCGACACCAGTTCCTTTAAACATTGAATACATTTAAAATTATTCCCCCCAAAATATGTATAGTTTGTACTGATTGGATAATAATGATGTATCTTTTTCAGACATTCATTAAGAAGGATGTGTTCCTAGCAACCCAGATGCCCCTCCCTCATACCACCGGTGATATCTGGAGAATGGTGTGTGACTGGAGAAGTCCTGTCATTGTCATGCTAAATGAACTTGATCTTCAAGACAAGGTCAGTGGAGTACACACAAAGTTTACCAAAAAAGAACAACATTACAGATTTTTATCGATGAAATAATCCAGTTCGTAAATGGTATCTGCGCATGGGCAGATAAAGGTCATTCGTTCCCAAATTTTAAAACCCATCGAGATGCATGCTGGTATTGTGCTCATGAAAGTCATGTAATCAGTATTCATTTATGCACCGACAGTACATATATCTGATACACAGGTGGAAGTATTCTTCTCAAGAGGCAAACATGAAGCACCTCCATCACTTTGGCAGTAATTATTCTAAAATGCACAAGTGGGACGTATCCAACGTGTAAAAGATCTGTGGATATTTTGAGGTCATCCATTCCAAAGCTATTTACAAATTGGCTTATGATAAAAAGAAATTACGCTAGAATTTTACATGTATACTATAAAAACATTATATGCAGTTATATACATGTACAAGTACATGGTATGACGTACGTACAGGTCTAATGATTATTGAAGAGAGATATTTGAAGATATTTGACATTTGATGATGATATTTTAGCAGTTTACATGATGGATAAAAGGCAAAACTAGATAACAAGATACTTCCACAAGAGATAATCAGCATTGAAATATCAAGAATGTTTTACACGGTGATCACTGCATTGCCTTATTCTCTAGGCTTACTGTAGGAATTATCCAATCACATAGTAGGCAATATGGTCCGAATGACTGATTTGACTTAATCCCTGTCTGAATGGAGAAACTTTCACTGTCTTCCCATTCTGTAAGGAATTCACATCAAATTTTGCTGATGCTGTTAACTTTTCTAATTAAAGATCAACATATTGTTCCATGTTTTGGTAAATTGCAGCTTCAGTTTGATATTCCATAATTTGAATAAAATAATACAGAATAACCGAACAGGCATTGAACAAGTACTAGGATATAGATAGAAAGGATCAATGCAAATAAAAATGCAGGGCTGATAGGGTTAAAAGAGTCCCAGCTACCTATGCAAGGTTTATTGCTCAAAATATGAATTTACATGTATGGAAAGGGCTATGCTATATAATTTGAATGTTATAAGATTATTTGGTTGTAATTGGAATAATAAATTTCATGTTAAGTAAACAAACACATAACTCATACCAAAGCTTTAAGTGCTTTATGTTTATCACATTGAAATCCTTCTCCTCCAACTCATATGCTAGTCCTGTGCCCAGTACTGGCCCAATAAAGACTCGGTCCAGTTTGGTCCCCTCAAGGTATCTATCATCTCGGCTGAAACCATCCGCAGTGACTACGTCATGAGGAAGTTTGAGATCAAGGGACCTAAGAAGGGAGTAAGTTTTCATTATGTCTTAACCCACAGACTATCTAGCTTTCATGAGATATCTTTGCTAGGGGAATTGTTAAATGTTCCCTCGGAAAACTTTGTTTGATAAATCTTCCATGTTTTTAAAATCGTTGCACAAATAAATCCATGACATGAATTGAAATTAATTTTATTCAAACAGCTGAAAATACTGCCTCTACACTCACAAGTTTCTCCATGCAGCTGTCTAATCATCATGACATTATTCGTGGTCCGGTCAATAATAATAATAATATACCGTACCTATATAGCGCATATCACAATATGTTTGTATGCGCTGTGAGAAAGAGTAAGAAGGAAAGGTCGATAGAGAAACATAAGAAGATTGAGATACGCTCAACATACTTCCTCTTGTTAACATTGGTAAGTATTTCCTGTTAGTAGACGAACCAGTTGTAGACCAAATGGTAATAAACCATCTCAAGCTTGGGTCTCTGGGAAATGTGATGTATCACAACAATCACACTGTATTAATAATAATAATAATAATAATACATTTATAGAGCACAGAAACTATCCAACATTAAGTATATATTCTACTGCGCAACAAAAACTCCTGATATGCTTAGACTTACAGTTAATTGAAAAGATGTGTTTTAAGTTTTGATTTAAAGATAATCACAAGGATATTGACAAGGATAAACCTGTTGTTTATTTCTAACAGACTCTGACAGTGAAGCAGTTTCAGTTGATGGGTTGGGATGGTAACCAGAAGAGACCCGCCTCCTTAGCTCCCATCCTCCATCTGGTTGATGCTGTTAGTGAGTGTGTAAGGACATCACAAGCATCAGGTCCAATCGTGTTACACTGCATGTGAGTATAGTCTTCTAATATATGCATATATGTACAACTCATGTTCAAGTTCAGGGGCCTGTTTGATAAAACTCGTTATCCATGAGCCACTCTAAAGTCAATGAAAAATTTGCTCTCAGTCAATCAAACTCCACAATTGTAATGGCTTATAACAGTTATTGTAACTTGTTATTGATAAGAAGCTTCATGAAAAAGTGCCCATGTTTAATTCACAGCTGTCAAAATCATTATATATATATATATATCTACATTTATATATGTACAAAGATACAAATAGTTCAGTAAAATCCTATTTTACTTGTTAAGTACATGTGGTATGTGTGTAATTTTGAATAAATTCATTACATAAAGAAAGATTTGTGAAATCATTTGATTACTTGAAGGAACCTCTAATGAGATTGAGTGATGGATACAATCTAGAAATCAGGGGAAATAGTTCTGGCTCAAGATCAAATTTGATAGTGATATGTTTGTCAGATAGACTTTCATTACCTGGTTGTTTACAGGTCAAAAAGTTTGTATGATGCATTTTTTAATTAGAGTATATAATAGTAGTGATAATGATCAGATTGATGAAGCAAACACGGAAATACCTTTATTTATTTCATCTCTACTTACTTTTAAATCATCATCGTCATCATTTATCAAAGTCAGCATTTTCCATCTTACAAGGGGTTACAGACTTTTCCGCCATGATGGCACTCCCGCCTTCCATTTCTTCTTGTATCAAGCATCCTCTTCAATTAGACCAACCTTACTCCTTTCTTTCCTCACCCTTATATTTCCATGAAATCTGTTCTTCCGAAATGGTCAAAAATGTCTACCTGTAATGTTTAAGGCATGGGTTATTTGTTTGATCATCACAGCAATAGGATTGGTAGGGGAAGTTTGTTAAAGTTTCCACCTACAACCTTAGAGCATGATTTTCTTTGTTTCATGATCACAGCAATGGAATTGGTAGGAGTGGTGTGTTTGCAGCCATCTATTCAGCAGCTGAGAAGATGATAACTGACAGCTCTGTCGACATCTTCCAATCCGTGAAGAGGTTACGAGCAAACCGTCCCAGCATGATTGAGTCAGTGGTAAGTCTGGGCTTGTAATACTTTAAAGATAAAGCGGAGTACTCATCGTGAGATGATGTTGTGACAGAAATTCTCTTGAAATATTTGTTCTGTCATCTTCCAAACGGTGAACAGTCCTAGCATGATTGAATCAGGGGTTATTATTTAGAGATGATGTATGTAAACTTTTGTTTGAACAGAGGAGGTAGAGATATTGTTAGTCAAGTAGATTATGTGTTAATTATCAATTTTTGTCTTAGAAGTAAATCAGGGCTTATACTAAAACAGTTGTGATTAATTAAAATATGTCGCAACTTATGATCACTCACAACTCTATACTAAAGAGACTGGAGCTTTTAAGTTTGTGATTGATCTGGGAATTTGATCTATCCCAGTCAATTACAACTCCTTAAAAGACAGTGACCTCTTCTTCAAAATCTATACTCTAAAACCTTAATGAATAAGTGGTTTTCATGTTGATGTTGTGATTATGTGTAACACAAGTAATACACTCTGTGTCAGTTATGTGCATTCAACTTTTTGACCAAAAATTTTGCTACACAATTTCTTACTTATTTATATTTCTTCACCTTTTCCCCCCTTCTCTTTTACAGGATCAATACAGCATCTGTTATGAAGGCATGGCAGAGTACATGAAGAAGTTTGATGAGTATGCTAACCTAGACATGTGAAGAGATTGATTATGCTTACAGTATGTCGTTTCTACCGGGGGGCGTTTCACAAAACTTGTCATCAGTGACAATTGACAGTGTTTGTTATAAACTACTGATATCCTTGCTTCCGATTGGTTATTAGCAGATTTGTCACTGATATTTGTAATTTGTCATTGAAAAAAAGGCTTTGTGAAACTGGTCCCAGGAGTCCAAATCTGTTACCTGTAATGTAGACCTTCTCACATTATTTGTAAGGTGGTTAGTGCTTGAGTGATGTCTATAACTTTACTGGCAATATTTACAATACCATTTTGCTGCATGTACATGAGATGCTGGTGAAAGAATAGTTTACCATATTTTAGCCCACGTACAAGTTATTTTTTTACTGGATTCTAATCTGACCATTGCCATTCTTGATGTATTCATGATGTGATACTATGACTTGCCTGGCAATTCAATACACGCTTTTGATTATACAAACAGTAAAAGCACTACCGGTAATTGCATTAATTAGTGGATAATGGTGTTTCTAAAAAAGCGTGTACCTAAATATGTACATGTAGTATTGTAGACCCAGTAAATACGGAAAGTGACTGTGTATTAAAATCCATGTATAATGTGGAATTTAGCAACGCTTGACAGGATTTTTGAACACGTTGAAATATGAAGTAAAATATGACTTACAAACAACCAAATGTTCAATAAAGATAAGCCTTCACTTTTTACTATTTCTGTCTGTTTATACATGTTCATGTATGTGGTATCTTATGTTATTTATAATTACATGAAATAAAGAATCTGTGGTTATCATGAAATATATATGTACTTTAAAGAAAAGATTTTTTTTTTTTTTTTACTGTACCAGTAATTCAAATGCATGTCTAGCTCATTCTCAAATGTTTTAATGTAATAACACTCTTTTATTTGACATGAATAGTACCGCTATCAAAAAGTAACTATGCAAACAAGTCTTTTATATATTCTTCTCATTCAAATTCACTCTTTCAAAGTACATTAATAATTATAAAAAAATTATGGGGAAAATGCCTTTGCCAATTTACCTTAAAAGAGGCCTAAACCTACAAAGGACTTCAAAATAGAACCCTTTTTTAATGACTTATATACATTTTACAATTTGATTTATACAAATTTTCTTCTTCTATCGACTCCCCCTCCTTCACTATTGAAGAGTCTTGGAGATGCTTCTTTAGACTTATCCAGTATATATTCGATTTTCTCCTTTGCTTAAAGAATATTTATCTTGTGTTTATTACTTATATGTTCAAATATAGTTAATATTACTTTTTTCATTTATCACTGTATTTTACCTCATAAGTGTTTTCCCCCTATTATTGTAAAGAGACTACAGGAGCTTATTTAATTCATATTTTAGGTTTTCAAAATACTTCTCATAGAATTTGAACATGCATCGCAAACTTACAATAGTTGACTATTTTGTTAGCAACCCAAATCAAAGTGCATGAAAAAAAAGAGATAATTTGTTGTTCCATTTAAGAAATAAAAGTAGGTAAGTATTTAGAATCTTGTTTTAAATATAACATTTTGATTCTTTTTATTTAACATCTAACATTGTTACCACAATTTTCACAAAGATTCTAGTAATGATTATTAAAAACATTTTCTTTCTATTTCTGGGACAAAATCAAATTCATGTTGATTTGTAAACCCATTTTATTTTAAAATTGTAATATAGATTGTTAACCTGCCGTAAGCTTGAACAAGCTTAATCAGTGAAGTACATCTTCATCGAAATGAAATATCACTTTTATACATGTGTTGTATCCTATGGTACCGTACTTAATAATATATTTACATGTACATCATACTAATACATCATATGTAATAATGACCCTTAGGGGAAATGTTTTGTTAGATATGTTTGTTTTTATGTCTTTCCAGAATTTCTTATTCTCTTTTACAATTCTGCTTTCATTCCTATAGTTTTATATCTTAATAATTTTATGTTTAATTCGTTATCAAATATTGATATTTGAATGCAGTGGGGACATTGATGCAGTAACAATATATTATGATATTTTATGAAAGTATATGTAGTTCTAAGTATATTATGCAGATTGACGATTTATTGAACATATCTTATATCAGTACTGGTGCTGAGATGATTACACATATATGGTTAACCCTAAGAAAAAATTCTGTTAATGATCACATACATGCATATGATTTTAGTTTGATTTTATGGATGAAGTAGAAATAGCTTTAATTTGTCTTTCATAGTAAAAAGTGTGAAAGCTGTAAATAATATTTTTTTACATAATATGAGATTTATTGAATTAATTGTTTTATATGAAAATGCACGCTATGCATGTATCAAGATACCAATTAGAATCATCTTTTTTCCCATTTGAAGAACAGATTATTTTTACAGGGCTCGACCACTATATGAGAACATAATTGCCATTTCTTTCATCCAGTGAACATGTAAAATGGAATAGCGCAATATGCAATTTGCGGTATAGAAATATCTTATTATTATTATTATTATTATGAGAAATTCCTATGAATAATTACATTCCCGATTGCTGCTATTAAAATGATTTGTGAATAAATAGATTTTTTTATAGAGTTAATTTTATTGTGTGACCGTTGTGTTTCATATGAATCTTGCATTCGTTTTGATATAAAACTAGCTTTCATTAAAATGTGACTCCTAAAACTCAAGGTATTTGGCCATTTGGTGTCCTATAGTATTAGCAATAGACCTGTTTACTATTTCTCTTGGCAACTTCTAGTAAAAAGCTTGCCAGATGCGTGCTTGACATAGCAACATCTAATGAATGCAAAGTGGTTTCCGTCCATATAGAGATCCAATTATTCATAGCAGGGGATTAAAATAGCTGGTAACTAGGGATTAGGGAGAGAAACATGCATACATTTAAATACCTCAGCAAACGGGTCTATTATCATGGAACAATGAACATGATCAACATGCAAATGAAATTTTCCTTGATATTTGGTTTGATGAAAAGTTCAAAGTAGGGCCATATCGGCTTTATACTAAAGCTGGTGTATCATAATCTTTGATAATATGTATAGTACTAAATATCTTGGACTGGCCAATCTAAAGAGATCAAGCAGAGGAAATAGATTGAGAGGGGAGCGAGAAGAAGAGTGGGAGAGAGGGGAAGAGAGAGAAAAGGTAGGTGAAAGGATAGGAGAGAAAAGGAGGAGGGAGAGGAGAGTAGAGAAGGAGGAGGGGAGAGAAAGTGTGTGTGCGTGAGAGAAAGGGAGAGAAGGCGGGGAATGGAATAACTCAAGGAATAGACTAACTACATGTAATCAAAAGGGAAATACAAAATTGAATTCACATTGCTAAAGAGAGTGCGTGTGTGTGCGCGCGCGCGTGTGTGTTTGTGGGAGAATGTTTATGAGGACAGACCATAGAGCCCACGACTAAAGACTACTCACATTTCCCTACTCTTCCACACAATACTACCATTGTTGATAATTAATGACGGCACCTGTAATACCGAGTCGAAGATGTACAAATGGGTACTTAAAGGTAATACAAAGTTTTGGGACATTTTGAAAAGTGGGTGGATAGTGATTCTTTACATTTTTGATATACTTGGATGCCCCTGTGGATGTATTATAAGCACAAGAAATTTTAGCCCCTAAAACCCTTCTGCTTTTAATAAAAATTGAATATAAAATTTACCGGTGCTCCCGGTAAATTTTGATAAATTTCAAATAGCGCCGACGGCCGTACAATGGTAGCTGCGACCATGAAAATCTCAGAATATTTAGTTGAGATATATAATTTCCAAACGGGAAGAGTTAATTATTTACAATTTCACAACGATCACTGAATATTGTAGGGTCGCATATGCTTCCAATATGTTCATTTGAACCAAATTCATGCATACCAAAACTTACCTTTGAATGAACTCAAAATAACGTCTTTTTTTCTTCTTCAATGTTACTATCGATTAATAAGTGGCAATTTGAGTAAAGGTTATATGGTGTAAAGCGTTCCTACTTATTCGTGTCCACAAAACCACTAGAGTAATTTAATTTTGGGGCGTATATTCTTTTGTTTTGTGCTTGCCCAGCCATGCAGTTGTCGCGATTTTGTGTCCAACTCGAACCGGGTTGGTCAAACTCTTCATCAATGACACTGGTCCCCATTGCATAAAACTTACCCAAAATGGTGACTTCCATGGAAACCTTGATTTGATTTGCTGTTGAGTGATGTTGCCATGGTAGTTGCTATTGATGGCAAAGATACCATGAATGGTGCCCTGGGCAAAAGTACATATTTGTACTAGTAAATGTGCATTAATCTTTTAAATGTGCGTTTGTTTCTCCCCCTTTTGTTTTAAGCTGGACTATTATTGAGTCGTTCATGAGTTTATACATTCTGAATCGTTAACCAAATCAAAACAATTACCTTTGTACCCAAGAATACGTGATACATGACTAATTTCAATGTGTGCACAAGTCGCAGGGAAATTGCTTAATTGCTTTCAAGATTAAAACTCTTGAGAGAGTTCATAATTACCACTTTATTCTAGGGCAGAGGCGTAGCATAAATGTAGACAATTAAGTGGGCACTGGGAGATGAAATATGAGAGAACGGCAAAGCGACCGAGGGATGGGGTGGGTTATGTAGCTGGGATGCCATGTACCATCCTCTTCCTTCCCATATTTCCGTCCCTCTTGTCCCTTATTTTCACTCTCTCTTCCTCTCCCATCGATTAATTGAGGGGGAAATGTCCCCCACGCCCCCGTATCTATTCCGCTACTCCAGAATACACAGTATATATATTCAAGTAAGCACTTAATTCAAAACAATTCTTGTTTAAATGTTACCCGCTATTGTTAAATGGTGCCATGTAAAGTGTTCATACTATTTTAGTCAACGCAACATTTTTTTTTAAAGTTATAGATGAAAAGTTGTAATTAAGCGAAAGCTTTATAATAATCTATAAAAATGTCTTGCAAACATTCATCCTCTTTAATAATATGATACTCTTAAATCAGATGTCCTTTCTATGGCATTATCATCTTGGCATTAACAAGATATAAGCCCACTTAAGAGCGGATGTTACATTACAATGAGTGGGGCCCTAATGGACCCGATAATTATTATCGAGACTGATGAGGCTAATACGCGCGGACTATTACCTGATGGAAATTATCTAATTATTGCCAAGAAGGGTTGTCATAACTGTAGGCCCTATTTACAATTCACTAGTGAGATTATTGTTTTTCAAAGTGTTGACTGATCATTAGTTTTTGGATAACACTGCTTGCAGAGTCATAGAAATATATAGAATGTCGGTTTGTTTGAAACATTTAGCACAAATCCTAAATAACTAGAACGAAATAGTCAATCTGCAAATTTACTGTGATATCTGGATTATATTCCTTGGATAACTGTTGAGTTCATTGCTTGTCTGATTGAAATTAAGGGACGTCTATTGTATGCTTGCTAAACACCATCAAAGAAACATCCTTGTTAGATGACAGAAGATACTTCTGTGCCATACAGTAGTTGTCGAGTGCAGATTAATTTCCCGTTTTAAAGAAAACTAATAATTTCAGGGAAGGCGTAGAGACGAAGATACATGTACAATGGAGGGCAATTCTTCCGCTGGATTCGATCCCGACCAGGTTCCACTTTTTAATTTGGATATCATTATTTATACCACCTGAATTTTTATGGTCTTTTCCTTGATTCTCAATTCATTTATAATATTGTTAATGAGAAACAGCGACGCGTTCAATGAAATTGACTCCATTCTGTATCAGGTTTTGGCAGTAGAGGACATGGTTTTCTTCATTACTGGCCTTTCTATTCAGTATCTAATAAGAAAAGATACCACTAATTGTGTACATGACATCTGTCACAGATGGTCATCATTAAGACTCATCTCCTCATCGGCCATCTTGTATCAGATCTTTGGTACCCTTCTAACAATAAATTTGTGTCGTTATCTGCTCATCGTGAAGCCATTGCAGTACCTCCGATGGATCACGAAAAGAAAGGTTGTGGTCATCCAGGCGATTATCTGCATTGTTTTAGTGACGTATAACTTTGGGTTACTATACATCTTGACACTCCCAAAGTATTTCAGCCCTCGTGTTATGGTTCTTTTTGTTCTTCCTATAATCGCAGGGTTTGTGGTGTTATTGGTTACAAGCAAACACAAAACGTTTTTAAAACGTCTACAGAACGTTCTTATCAGGTTCCGTACGTCTTCGTCCATATTAAACGTTTAAAAAACGTTTATATAACGTCTAAGTTGGGACCTTACATTCGCTGCGGAGCTAGGTCTTTTGAAGACGTTCAGAAAACGTTTTGTGGACGTTACAAATTAAACGTTCTTGGATATAACGTTTACAGAACGTTTTATTCAGACATATTTTGTTGAACTTATTTTTAATGTCCAAATAAATATTTCTTAAAAAATACTAGCTGGCGAAATTAGGCCACATGCATACGCATGGGGGGGGGGGGGGGGGGTCGAGGTATGTCAAACTGATGCACTCCTGTGGCGTAGCGATGGGGGGAGGCACGTGCCCCCCAATAATTTTGAGGGAAAAAAATAGAAAACATAAGGTGACATTATTTGAAGAAAAGTAGTGACCCCTTCCCCTCACATATAATGTTTGTGCCCCCCCCCCCCCCCCCCCAAAGCCCAGTCAGTCCGACCGCGCTACGTCATTTATATGCTCCATTCAACCACGTGTATACAAAGTGCGTACGTACATGGTGGGGAGAGGGGGGTCAACTGCGGACGCACCGTATATCATCGTACCACTGTAGAGGTCAGTGAATCGTACCCGGCACGGCCGGTGCGGCGCGCTCGCTCCATCCAGAGCTAGCTAGCTAGCAGCATGCCGCGTGTTTTAAACTGAATAACGAATTGACTGCTTGATGACGTGACTTCGAGATTTCAAATAATCTGTTAGACTGCGACACCGAGGTAAGCGTTATTTTAACATTTTGATATCTGTAAGGAATTTAAGCTTTGTTTGATTGATTTTGAAGCATGTAAAATGAAATAAAATATTGATTATTTGCATTAAAACGAAAAGTACGGTAGACTCTATGTCGCATGTGCAGGCCGATGAAACTCTCATTGCATTGACTGGTATGGTAATTGGGTAGGCTAGGCTATGTGCACACATAACTTCAGGAAGCTCCGATGCCGAACGGCGTCGGAGCTTCTTGGAGAAATGGAGTTAGTGCATAGAGTCTACATAGCTGCATTACTATCCTGGCTGTGTATTAAAAGCTGTGCTATTGATACTCAACATTTCAAACACCACTGTACAAAACTCTTTCACTAAAAATCGGTACTTTAGTGACAATTGATGACACCTAAATAGCAGTAATAGAATACAATTTGTTCAACTTACCGATGTTATTTTGTTAGGAAGAACAATTTAGAAATTCAAATTGTTTGTCTACTGTCAAACTTTGCTTACAGCCGCATCGGCATGATAAGTGCATTTGTGTATTATGTGTGTATTGACTATTCCTTTTGAGCAAATGCTGCCTATTAACATGTAGTGCAGTGCTAGAGGTTAATACGCATAATAGCATCGACTCTTTGCTGGAGTGGGTATGTGCGCATGGCTCATTACATTACATGGTAATCGGATGATTAAAACAGTTGAGTTTTTAACTTTGCTGTCTGGAAAAATCATGGAAAGTTCCCATCGGGATTTAAAATGCTATTTCGTGAAGAAAATAAGTCCCTCGACTACCATCTCATTTCTTGACTTATTTACTCTTCCCTCAATATCATTTAAAATCCCACGGGAATGGAACAATCCATGCTTTTCCCTCCACCACCATTTAGCAACTTTATATTATCCCACCCCCTATATCAACAGGTTTGTTTTTTAGGCAATTGAAATAGCTCCCAAACCACCTTTTTTGTATGGATTTTGTTTTTATAGAAATATCGAGACCTAGTCTAGATCTATATCTTGTTCTCAATTTCGTCCCTTCAAAAAAATTATTTTTAGTTCAGATGACACATTATTTAAAGAAATTGATTTCCAATAACGTAGATTAACTTAAAGATTGATTTGTTTTATTTGTACATACAGGCAACTATGTGAAAGCACAAAAAACATCGCCAGGAAGGCAGAGGACACGTCAAACCTGGTACCGGAAGATGATGCTGTGTAGAAGCGAAAGAGACGTCTTCCCCAGAGATTTAGCAAATCTTCAAGTGATTCCTGAAGGGACGCTGGTAAGTATTTGTCTCTTGATGGTTAGTAGTGCTTGGCTCGGCCAGAGACGTATAATTTACATCTTATTTCTTGTTTTCTTCAAAATCCAAGAGATGATGAAAAGCCAAGATAATTTATTTGGTATAGCTAGACCTGCTTTGTGTCCCAGCCATGCAAAATGATGATTAATAGATGTGGCACCATTCCGGCAAAACTGGAAATTAATTTATAATCTAGGCATAAATTTCGGACAAGAAGTGTGCTTTACCCAAAAGTTTTTTCAGTTTATGAGAATTCTTGTCATGTCTTGATATCCCTTTTAACATCTGCAATGTGTCTCTATTTTTCAGATCTTGAATAGGGATCGAACCCAAGAAAACAACATGTACGCGGAGGAACGACTAAGGCTGTGGCAGCGGAGATACCAATGCCGAAACTGAATGCGAAGTCCAAGTCCACATCGCATTTTTCAGTTCCAACCCACAACTCCAGCAAGGGCTCGGGCTACGGAAAGTAAGTTTTTTTCAGATAGCATTTCACAAACAAAAGTTTCTGAGTTTTTTTTTATCAGAACATATACTGTAGAGTGTATTAACTAACAAAACAACATTTGCCATTTGTGCTAAGTTGCTACACTAAAATACTGTTGGATTGGATAAGAGAGACAGATTATCGCGGCGTACAGTACATGTAATTTATTTTATCAACAAGGCATGGGTATAGTTTTCTTACAGAAGAGTCGCTTTTAAATCCTTACAGTATGTATACTTTGTTAGAAGCGCTGCACAGGTGTTGTCTTTGAAGCTGGGTGATATATTCCTGAAGTGACTAAATTGGACAGCTATCAAACATATCTCGGCAAAATATCCTATTCATTTGCTGTCAAACTTTTTAATGACTTGAACTGTTATTATAATGCATTTTATGTGTCTGTTTTTTTCTTCTCAGGCAATTTTCAAGTGCAGGTACTGTGTACGCTGCAGAGGCTGGAGGAAAGGCAGCAGCAGCTGACGCAGTTGGTACAAAAACTGCTTTTGTCCAAACCAGGAGCGGCCGTTGAATTTTGTGGAAGACTGAGGGAGCCGTTTACCAAACCAGTGAACACCAAATTTTCATTCAAGGTAGATTAAGATACCTTCATTCAGGGGCAATGCAAAAATCCTAAAACTCATATTGAAACCAAATTTGACCATTTCAGCTAATAATGGAGAAACTTTATCAGCGACATAACAGTTTTGTTGGTGCATCTTTTTGGATTGAATTGCCAACATCTTGTTGAGAATGCAAGACAAAGTTGTATAGGTCTGTAAATTTACTACTTTTTGTAAGGATGCTGAAACCAATGTGTGTGCTGCCAAACTCTCGACACTGTTTATTTATAACCTTGTCTTCTATATTCATAGACCCTTAAATTTGAGTATTCATATTTGCCTGTTAATAATTCATATCAACTCATTTCTATCAGTTTATTGTAAATAGCTTTTTGTAGATTGTTCATGAGTTTTGTGTTGATTTTATATTTGAAGTAAGATGCAAGGTCCAATGCAAGGCTTCTGGGAAATCTTGACCTGCCCACTAAATCTTTGGTCGATCAAAAGGACAATTTTTTACACGGATTTAAAGGGGAAATCTACCCTAGAAATTTCACTGCTTCAATCAAAGGAGACAAATTTGAACAAAATTAAAAATAAGAAATGGGCAAACTCGGTAAGGAAAACAAATTAAGGAAACTACTCTTTTTTACATTTTCTAGTAAATTACTCTCGGCTATTCAATTTGACAATGCTGATGACATCTTGAGTAGCTCTAAATTCACTTTGTACACAAAATTTCACATTTTCTATCCCCCATAGTCAAAGCATTTTGTGTAAAAAGCTAGTCGTCATTAGTAATCTGAACATACTCTGATTAAAAGCTGTGGAAATGTGCAACTTTAAGGAAAATTTAGAAAATATGAAATTTTGTGTACAAAGTTGATGGATAGCTACTCACAGTTGATGTCATCAGTGTTGCCAATTTGTAGAGCTGAAACGAGTGTAGTTTCCATATTTTTTTTCTCCGTACTTTCACTCGAAATGTGACTTCTTAAAATAGTCACATTTTTATCACTTGTAGAAGTTGATGAGAAAGTAAATACATGTACTCTTTTGAATAGTTATAATTTGCACCGGATGATGAAGCTAATCCTGGGTGGAGGCACATAGCTAAATCGGTTATTCACATGTATTTAATGATAATTTGTGACATTTTGTTAAAAGGTTCTGGTGAATTTATTCACATTGATATAGTACACAAAGAAATTCTATGCACTATGTGGTTTTACCAAAGATCAAGACTTATTATAGAAAGATTTCTTAATCATTTGCTGGGGCATCTTTTTGGCATGAATTGCCAGGTTCTGTAAATAACTCAAATTGATTTTATAAAGTGTGTTACCAAAGTTGCTATATGTGTGCTGCCAAATTCTTGACACTATTCATTTTATCTTGCCTCAGTGAAAAAAATACACGGGGGCTCAGGGCGAATTTGCCCCCGAAATGCCTAAAACAGCCCCCGAAAATCAGAAAAGAGCCCCAGTAAATTTGCATAGAGTTCAATGCAAAACAAATTTTAGAGTGTTATTTTTATGCAGGCAAGCTTGAAAAGTAGCCCCCGAAAAATAAATATTAATTTTCTCCCTGTCTTGCCTTGTATATTTAGACCCGTGAATATATGAGTATTCATATTTGCCAGTTAATGAGGCATATCTTCAACTCATCTATCATTTTCTTATGTTTTATTTGTAGATTGTTCATGTGTTGACACTATTAATTTATATGTTGCCTTGTATATTCATAGAGACATAGACCCGTAAATATATGAGTATTCATATTTGCCAGTTAATGACATATCTTCAACTCATCTATCAGATTATTGTGTATTATTTGTAGATTGTTCATGTGTTATGTATCTATAGTTTTAAAGGGATAGTTTAGTATTGGTCAAACTTAACTTTAAAACCAAAACCTGCACCATCACGGTGCAAAGTAATAATCACAAACGGCCAAGTAAAACCCCTGTTAATATTCAAAATGACCCGTTACTTTCAGTTTATGCATTTAATGTTTGTTAAAATAATAATTAAATATCTATATAAATTGCTTTTTAAAGAACTATTCAGATTTTTTTTCTTCAAAGTAGTCTTTAAGCATTTTTAATATTTTGAATAAAAATATATTTATGGATATTTCAGCCGTTTGTGAACCGACTTTGATCAAATAACAATTTATTCTTAATATCAGAATTGTATGTTCTTTCGGGGGCACTTCGGGAAATACCAATACTCTTTTTCAAATATACATGATGTACTGTATTGCCAAGCCTTTGTACATATTTTGTAAATATGTTTGGTAATAAATTCATAAAATCAATCAAACTCATGTGTGACCTAGCGTTTATTTAAAATTCACTGTATATTGGACGTTCTTAAAAGGTTTTCTGAACGTTCTTAAAACGTTTCCAGGACGTTCTAGACGTTCTTAAAAGGTTTACTGAACGTTTTAAAAACGTTTCCAGGACGTTCTAGACGTTCTTAAAAGGTTTTCTGAACGTTTCCAGGACGTTCTGGACGTTCTTTAAAGGTTTTCTGAACGTTCTCAAAACGTTTCCAGTACATTCTAGACGTTCTTAAAAGGTTCTCTTGGACGTTCTAGACGTTCTTTAAACGTCCTGGAAACGTTCTAGACGTTCCTAAAAGGTTTTCCGGACGTTTTTAAGGTTCTTAAAACGTTCTTAAAACGTCCCAAACGTCGTACAGGTTTTCTGCAGGTCCTTGCACTTAAAGCAAATCTTTAAAAGGTTTTTTATTGGTTCTAAAAACGTTTAGAAAACGTTCAAAAAACGTCCATTTGGAACGTTCCAAAAAACGTTTTCAACCTACCACAAATGGACGTTTTTAGAACGTTTTCACAAAACGTTTAGAAAACCAATTTGGAACCTTTTTAGAACGTTCAGAAAACGTTTAATTGTTAGTTGGGCTGTTTCTTTTCTTGGTTTGTAGTTGATCATTCCAGAGTAGTCCTCGAGACGTTGAAAGATGATCCTCACTCAGACTACTACAATGCTAATTACATACGGGTCAGTCGCATTTCCTATCATCTTCCAAAAGTATACTGAGATTCATGAAATAAATTTTTACTTCCATACCTTCTGTAAACACCATATTTCAGGTTTCCTTTAGTAACTTGTAACTGCCACAAGGAACTTATGGGAATTGCAAACTTAGTTGTGATATGGTTATTTTACAGGATGGAACTGCCACAAGTTTATTCCATTTTAAAAATTCATGAAATTCTCTGGGTTTACTGCACTGTCTTTTAAGTGTAATTGACTTTTCGTTCATCTATTAAAGTTCTTCATGCTGACATATGTACATGTAGTTTGAAAAGATTAAATAGGTAATCTTTATTGATATTTTGGTATTTTGAAAAATTAAGCTCACCATATCATTTGCCTTTGCCAGTACTATGTAATAGGAAAAATTAAGCCCACCATGGTACTACATAATGTTCCTTTTGAGTGAAGAAAGGGTAGAGACACAGAATATTATAAGAAAAGAATAAGAAGCGAATAAAAAGAAACAGAAGGTAACTGTAAAGAGCGAGAGATAGAGAGTGAGAGGGAGGGAGAGAGAGAGAGAGAGAGAGAGAGAGAAGGAGAGAGAGAGAGAGATAAAGAGTGGGAGGGAGAATAGAGAGAGAGAGAGAGAGAGATATAGAGGGAAAGAGAGAGGGAGGGTAGGGAGAGAGAGAGAGAGAGAATTACCAAAGTGAATGAGAAGTGAGAGGTAGGAATATATGAATTGTAGAGACACAAACTAGAGGTTAATTTGGAATTTGATAGTGATAATATCTTCTTATTTTCAACAGGATGACAAGGGGAAGAAGACATTTATTGCTGCCCAAGGTATGTTTAAAGACATCATCTTCAAAATATGAAGACTATCTTTACTGAAGATTGTAATATTTGGGTTCATTCAAAATTAGTAAAATGATATTACAAATCTTTTGTGCCTATTACTATGTACATATATGTTAATCTGAAATAAGATCAATATGTTTTTTTAGAAAGACACAGAAGATTTAATGAGAGAAAGCTTTTCGTTCAGGAATAATATATGCATTCATCACCTACATGTTTAAACATTTTGATTGAAATATTTCCTTAATGATCCTTCATTTCATAATGCTCTTTGTATTTCTGTCTACTCTCAGCCCCCAACACTGCAAGCATCAATGATTTCTGGCGACTCATTTGGCAGGAGAATGTATGTTCGGTTGTCATGGTTACAAACACCATGGAGGGAGGCAAGGTAAGTAATCAATGATTTCATACTTATAGATAAGACCTACATATTATTTGATTATAATGTAATGATGAGACAAATTAAGATAGTTTAGCCAGACGTAGTGGCATGAAAAGACAAACCCAGAACGCAAAATACATAATTGATTGAAATCATATTTGTTAACATATAGAGGTAGAAGCACATTGTTAGGATACTAGCTGGTAAATACGTGTACTGTCTTGATAAGGCTTAATGTTTACCTAAACTTTCATCACATATAAAAAAATAAAAAAAACTTTAATTCACAAACAACAAGTATTTTGCCTTTTGCATTCCGGACGCGTCTTTGTATGCTAGATCGAAAAAAATGAGATCTCACTAAAACAGGCCAGATAAAAACCCGATTTAAATCGGTTTCCCGATTTTTTTATTTTTCCCGATTTTTTCCCGATTTTTTTTTCTTCCCGATTTATTAAAAAAAAAAATTAAAAAAAAAAAAAAAAAAAGATTTTTTTTTTTTTTTTTTTTTTTTTTTTTTTTTTTTTTTACCAATTTTTTTTCTTCTTCCATATTTCATCCTGATTTTCCCGATTTTTCTCTTATTTTCTCTACTCTTCCCAATTTTGCCCTATTTTTGTCCAAATTTTTTTTACTTGAAAGGCGGGAATGTTGATACATGCCATTTTTTCCCCGCGAATCCTCTTCTTTTTTTTTTTACTCAAGGGGTCGTGGTTGAGGGGAAAACAAAAAACCTATTTTTTTTTTAGTGCTCACTATCACCCCTGCTAAAAAACAACACTGTACACTATGATTTATAAATGTCAACTCAACATTTCTCTGCTCTGTACGACAGGATCGCTGCACAGTTTACTGGCCGAAGGAGATGGGTAAGAGCAAGACGTTTGGTGGGATTGAGGTCAAGCTGAGAACCATTGAAGAGTTCTCAGATCATGTGCACAGGGTTCTGGATGTTAAGCAGGTAAGAATTATGTTCTGGGGGGTGTTTCATAAAGCTGTTCGTAAAGTTACGCATGACCTTACTAACGACTTGAATATGAAGTGCCAGATAGGATGCCCAATTTTTTTCCTAATGTTTTCACAAAGTGTGACTATATTTCCTAAACCTTAATTAAATTATGGCAAAAAATATACTTTGCATTAAAAATGTTTGTTATCATAAGAATGTTAATCTACATCTGCACAGTTCAACTTTAGTTGATGCAGTTAAAAAAGGATTGAGCATCCCATTTGGCTTTTCATATATAAGTCATCCGTAAAGTCATGTGTAACTTTACGAACAGCTTTATGAAACACCCCCAGGCTCTAAACAGTGCAAGATAGGTGATAATAGCACTTTGGTCCCACCTGCTTTAAAAGATGATGTTCCTTTTCATAACAAATATTGTGTACCTTAATTAATCGTGATAATCTGAATGAAAGAATAAATGAAACTTCCACTTTACGTTGACTGTTTCTTCATCCAACTTAGTCCAATCAGAGAATAAGTAGAGCGTCAGTATGTAGATGCCCAATCAAAGGCACTGATTATACAGAAAATAACCAATTAAATTCAGAGATTCCAGTAGTTAAAACAAAAATCAATTCCTATGAACAATTTTTATCAAACTGTGCTCTTGATTATGTTCTTTTCTCAGGTGAGTGGAGGTGAAACGAGGTCCGTCCATCAGTTCCACTACCAGTCCTGGCCTGATATGGGTGTTCCACAGTACCCTACCACACTCATCAGCTATACACAGACTGTCAAACATGTCCATGAACGGATCACTGCTAACACCAAGGGCTCCACACCCATGCTTGTTCACTGCAGGTGAGTTAGATCATGATTAAGAATGTGACCAGAAAATAGTTTTTTGAAACCTCAAAATAATGTGCTAATTAATGAGAACAAAAATATGCAGTGTAAAAGACAGTAATATTGGTGAATCAAATGCTGTAATTTGACATATCTGAATCACAGTTTTGGTAATATTAATCCCAATCGGGTCATTAGAGATACTAACCAGCTCCTTGTTACAATGACTTGGTTCTATCTGGATCCTTCATAAATATGATTTCCACAATAAATTAGTTTTTCTTGACACATCATTTAATCTTCAATTATTATTTTCTAAATAGTGCTGGTGTTGGGAGGACAGGAACGTTCATCTCACTCTACTGCATGCTAGCACAGGTCATAGAAGAGAGCAGGGTCGACATCTTTGGTTTCATTCAGAAGATGAGAAAAGACAGACCTAATATGGTCCAAACTGCTGTAAGTATCTATCATTTATTCTGCTCAGCTTTATATGATGGCCTGTACCATGATGGCCTGTATTACAAATAGATTTGACTTGATTACTTCCTACAGGATACTTCCTACAGGATACAGGATACAAGGCAACAGATGTAAGAACTTCATGAGTGTAAGATTGCCAACTGTTTCATGATGAAGATCTTGCCCACAGCCCAGTGTTGTTACATTTACAAGTTTAAACCCTTACAGCATTATAACGATACTACTACTACTACTACTACTACTACTACTACTACTACTACTACTACTACTACTAATACTACTACTGCTACTACTACTACTACTACTACTACTACTACTACTACTACTAATACTACTACTGCTACTACTACTACTACTTTTACTTCAACTGCTACTACTACAATGTATTACTACTACTATTATGATAGTAGTTTGTGCTTTTATTTCTATGATGTGATTCATATATCTGTTCTTTATGTATTTTCCACTATCAGGACCAGTATATTCTCATCCATACTGCCCTAGTTGAGGCCTACATGAGTGGTAACACTGATGTTCCTGTCAGCAGTTTTGAAGCCAAGCTTTCCTCACTCCAAGAGAGGAATCCACTTACCCAGAAACTCAACATTGAACAGGAATTTGAGGTAAAACTGATGAGCAATAGTCCAATCAGCATTGTAATCTGTTCCTTTCTTGTAGAGATACTCTTGAACATTTTGAAGTTGTATTTTTTTTTTTTTTTTTTTTTTTTGGGGGGGGGGGGATCTTTGCAGAGGTGTGTCTTAAATAACATCCTCTTTCGCATTACGATACAATTTAAGTGAAATTTTGCAATCAAATGCTTTGCAAATTTGAGGCTTCCAATAATTTAGGCTTTAACCTGTTGAGTACCGGTACTGAATTCTTTCATTCCCATAGGCTTTATACAGGGCCACCTGGTTCCCATTTGAAATGGGTTAATATCTTTTCTTACTATGTTTTGTTTTGAATCCATGATTTCTATTATAAATAGAATGTTTGCATGACTTGGTTAACACAACTTTAAACCAGCATTAAATGGCATTTTCCCCCGAATTGGGGTTCATTGCATCTTTCCTTCACCCCTATGTGGTTAATTGGCTGCTGTGTATCACCTCTGGGTTAACTCATTATCTTGAAAGTTTTTTTGTCTTTTTTCTACACTCCCACTGTCTATGTGATTGTTTTGATGCATGTGTTGTGTTTATGTAGTAGTGTTGCCTTTGTTTGTTGGTAGATCTTGAACCAGCTCACCCCTCCCGTCGGTCCACAAGCTTTCAAGGCTGCTGGTCTACCTGCCAACATTGACAAGAACAGATTCCCGAACGTTCTACCCAGTGAGTCTTCCTTCTTTACAGCATGCCACTTTAATCTCTTATTTGTTTTGAAGACCATATATCGACTCTTCCAAGCAAGAAAATGTCAGATAATGATAAACATTATTTATCACAGGCAGTTTAATAGTAGGCTTGAATGTATCAATAACAATAATATTCCACTTTTATATAGCGCTTAGTACATCTACAATGTCTCTAAGCGCTTTACAGATATACTATTACCCCGGTTATCGGATTCAATACCTGCCCGCACAATCTCAATGAAATTTATTTAAAATTTTATTAAAACATGACTACTTTTTTGTTTGTTTAAGGTCAGCATCTGTGTGAAGTGAATAACAGAGTTATGATTTATGTATTTTTTGCAGTTACCAGGCTCTTCTATTCTGAGCAGTATCATTTTTAAAATGTTATTACTATCAGTTGCCATGATTTGGCAACATTCTTTCCTTACTAATTGTACATGATTAAAGAGCATACAGCTGATATGTGGAGTACAGAACATTGTTTTTCGAAACTGTCATAAGTTCACTGACATCCCATCAAAAAGTTTGTTAAATGTTCGATGGGATGTCGGCAAACTTGTACTTATGACGGTTTCATGAAGCAATGCATTGGATACCAGCCTTGCACAGCAAAATTATTTCCTTTTACGTTTGCCTCAGCATATATTTATGACAAATTAAATGGTACCATATCTTTTTTTCAGTGGAGAAGAACAGACCATGCCTAGTGACAAAGGGAGAAGCAGGAAGCACAGACTATATCAATGCCTCTTTTCTCAATGTAAGTATGAGGTTAAAGGTATAGACCAGTTCTGGTCATGCGATTGCATTGTGAAAGAAACGTTATGGAATCGAAAAGGTTGATCATCTAGCATTTAAGAATTGGTGTGTACTGCAAGGTTCTTGAATCATCAAAATGATAAGAAATTTGGCCCAGTCTTGGTAAAGTTACAAGCACTGTACACAGAAAGATGTATATGGAACTATACACAAACATATGAGGTGTAAAAATGTGGTCCTCATATTTAGAATACAGAGAGATGTATATATGGAACTACCCGATATTTATCCAGTCCGGATAGATATAATAATTTACCAAATATATCAATTAGTAGGCGGTTTTCAAAACATATTCTTTCACATGATTGGTAATAAGAGCTTCCATTTTATTTTTTGAGAGGGGGGCGTTTTCAAAACTGGTTTATACCTTTAAAATCTTTCAAATTAATCCTCTTGACTTACACAATTTCTCTTGCACCCTGGGTCAATAATTTATACTTCAATGTTTGAGTGCTTTAATGTTTTTGAGTAATTCTCCATGAAGAAGGTCCTGAACTACATGTACCACCAAACCCCTATGACAACTACTCCTAGAGAAATTTTCCCACACACAAGGGCTTAGAGGCTCTTGAGTTGTTTTGGATGGAGATGGAGGTGATATTTATCCGAAGGGGTTGCTGTTAATTGGCCTGGTAGTGTCCTTTTCCTGACACATTCATGTATATCGACAGTTTGGGTTATTTCCATGGTTATTTGTTGGATTTATAGAGTGAAAATATTTTCATGGCAATAAAATTTCAAATGGAGGCACCTAAGTTCGATTATGAAAGAAGAGTGTATCCCTGTCTTTGGTCAAAATACATCCTTAAAAACAAAACTTTGGGGCTGGGTATGCAGTATATGGTATGGAAAGATGTGATTGGAGTGTTGAAATGCAATCTTCAAGATAATTTATTTCAAATATAAATATATTAATAATAAGTAATTATTATTATTATTAATTATTATTAGTAATAAATGAACAGATGATGTCATTTATTCTTTGAGAAAAATATTCAAAATATACATTCATAAACATCTCTAAAAGCTATGTTTTGGGCGACACCAGTTCCTTTAAACATTGAATACATTTAAAATTATTCCCCCAAAAATATGTATAGTTTGTACTGATTGAATAATAATGATGTATCTTTTTCAGACATTCATTAAGAAGGATGTGTTCCTAGCAACCCAGATGCCCCTCCCTCATACCACCGGTGATATCTGGAGAATGGTGTATGACTGGAGAAGTCCTGTCATTGTCATGCTAAATGAACTTGATCTTCAAGACAAGGTCAGTGGAGTACACACAAAGTTTACCAAAAAAGAACAACATTACAGATTTTTATCGATTAAATAATCCAGTTCATAAATGGTATCTGCGCATGGGCAGATAAAGGTCATTCGTTCCCAAATTTTAAAACCCATCGAGATGCATGCTGGTATTGTGCTCATGAAAGTCATGTAATCAGTATTCATTTATGCACCGACAGTACATATATCTGATACACAGGTGGAAGTATTCTTCTCAAGAGGCAAACATGAAGCACCTCCATCACTTTGGCAGTAATTATTCTAAAATGCACAAGTGGGACGTATCCACCGTGTAAAAGATCTGTGGATATTTTGAGGTCATGCATTCCAAAGCTATTTACAAATTGGCTTATGATAAAAAGAAATTACGCTAGAATTTTACATGTATACTATAAAAACATATGCAGTTATATACATGTACAAGTATATGGTATGATGTATGTACAGGTCTAATGATTATTGAAGAGAGATATTTGAAGATATTTGACATTTGATGATGATATTTTAGCAGTTTACATGATGGATAAAAGGCAAAACTAGATAACAAGATACTTCCAGAGGAGATAATCAGCATTGAAATATCAAGAATGTTTTACACGGTGATCACTGCATTGCCTTATTCTCTAGGCTTACTGTAGGAATTATCCAATCACATAGTAGGCAATATGGTCAGAATGACTGATTTGACTTAATCCCTGTCTGAATAGAGAAACTTTCACTGTCTTCCCATTCTGTATGGAATTCACATCAAATTTTGCTGATGCTGTCAACTTTTCTAATTAAAGATCAACATATTGTTCCATGTTTTGGTAAATTGCAGCTTCAGTTAGATATTCCATAATTTGAATAAAATAATACAGAATAACCGAACAAGCATTGAACAAGTACTAGGATATAGATAGAAAGGATCGATGCAAATAAAAATGCAGGGCTGATAGGGTTAAAAGAGTCCCAGCTACCTATGCAAGGTTTATTGCTCAAAATATGAATTTACATGTATGGAAAGGGCTATGCTATATAATTTGAATGTTATAAGATTATTTGGTTGTAATTGGAATAATAAATTTCATGTTAAGTAAACTAACACATAACTCATACCAAAGCTTTAAGTGCTTTATGTTTATCACATTGAAATCCTTCTCCTCCAACTCATATGCTAGTCCTGTGCCCAGTACTGGCCCAATAAAGACTCGGTCCAGTTTGGTCCCCTCAAGGTGTCCATCATCTCGGCTGAAACCATCCGCAGTGACTACGTCATGAGGAAGTTTGAGATCAAGGGACCTAAGAAGGGAGTAAGTTTTCATTATGTCTTTACCCACTGACTATCTAGCTTTAATGAGATATCTTTGCTAGGGGATTATTAAATGTTCCCTTGGAAAACTTTGTTTGATAAATCTTCCATGTTTTTAAAATCGTTGCGCAAATAAATCCATGACATGAATTGAAATTAATTTTATTCAAACAGCTGAAAATACTGCCTCTACACTCACAAGTTTCTCCATGCAGCTGTCTAATCATCATGACATTATTCGTGGTCCGGTCAATAATAATAATAATATACCGTACCTATATAGCGCATATCACAATATGTTTGTATGCGCTGTGAGAAAGAGTAAGAAGGAAAGGTCGATAGAGAAACATAAGAAGATTGAGATACGCTCAACATACTTCCTCTTGTTAACATTGGTAAGTATTTCCTGTTAGTAGACGAACCAGTTGTAGACCAAATGGTAATAAACCATCTCAAGCTTGGGTCTCTGGGAAATGCGATGTATCACAACAATCACACTGTATTAATAATAATAATAATAATAATACATTTATAGAGCACAGAAACTATCCAACATTAAGTATATATTCTACTGCGCTACAAAAACTCCTGATATGCTTAGACTTACAGTTAATTGAAAAGATGTGTTTTAAGTTTTGATTTAAAGATAATCACAAGGATATTGACAAGGATAAACCTGTTGTTTATTTCTAACAGACTCTGACAGTGAAGCAGTTTCAGTTGATGGGTTGGGATGGTAACCAGAAGAGACCCGCCTCCTTAGCTCCCATCCTCCATCTGGTTGATGCTGTTAGTGAGTGTGTAAGGACATCACAAGTATCAGGTCCAATCGTGTTACACTGCATGTGAGTATAGTCTTCTAATCTATGCATATATGTTCAAGTTCAGGGGCCTGTTTGATAAAACTCGTTATCCATGAGCCACTCTAAATTCAATGACAAATTTGCTCTCAGTCAATCAAATGCCAAAATTCTAATGGCTTATAAAAGTCATTGTAACTTGTTATTGATAACGAGCTTCATGAAATAGGGCCCATGTTTAATTCACAGCTGTTAAAATAAAAATAGTTCCGTAAAATCCTAATTTACTTGTTGAGTAGATGTGGTAAGTGTGTAATTTCGAATAAATTTATTACATAAAGAAAGAATGTGAAATCATGTGACTACTGAAGGAACTTCTAATGAGATTGAGTGATGGATAAAATCTAGAAATCAGGGGAAATAGCGCTGGCTCAAGATCAAATTTGATAATGATATGTTTGTCAGATAGACTTTCATTACCTGGTTGTTTACAGGTCAAAAAGTTTGTATGATGCATTTTTTAATTAGAGTATATAATAGTAGTGATAATGATCAGATTGATGAAGCAAACACGGAAATACCTTTATTTATTTCATCTCTACTTACTTTTAAATCATCATCATCATCATTTATTAAAGTCAGCAGTTTCCCTCTCACAAGGGGTTACAGACTTTTCCGCCATGATGGCACTCCCGCCTTCCATTTCTTCTTGTATCAAGCATCCTCTTCAATTAGACCAACCTTACTGCTTTCTTTCCTCACCATATCTGAAATCTAAGGCCTCGTTGCATGAAACTTACCATCGATGGTCATTTTTCCATCATTGGTAACTACCATGGAAACCTTGATTTTGATTGGCTGTTGAGCCTTGGTACCATAATAGTTACCTTTGATGGCATAGTTACCATCAATGATAAGTTTTATGCAACATGGCCCTGGTCTTCCAAAGATGGTCAAAAATGTCCACCTATAATGTTAAAGCATGGGTTCTTTGTTTGATCGTCACAGCAATGAGATTGGTAGGAGTGGTTTTTAAAAAGTTTCCACCTACAACCTAAGACCATGAAATTCTTTGTTTCACGATTGCAGAAATGGAATTGGTAGGAGTGGTGTGTTTGCAGCGATCTATTCAGCAGCTGAGAAGATGATAACTGACAGCTCTGTCGACATCTTCCAATCTGTGAAGAGGTTACGAGCAAACCGTCCCAGCATGATTGAGTCAGTGGTAAGTCTGGGCTTGTAATACTTTAAAAATAAAGCGGAGTACTCATCGTGAGATGATGTGACAGAAATTCTCTTGAAATAGTTGTTCTGTCGTCATCTTCCAAACGGTGAACAGTCCTAGCATGATTGAATTAGGGTAATTATTTAGAAATGGTGGTTGTAAGCTGTTGTTTGAACAGAGAAGGTAGAGATATTGTTAGTCAAGTAAATCATGTGTTAATTATCAATTTCTGTCTTAGAAGTAAATCAGGGCTTATATTAAAACAGTTGTGATTAATTAAAATATGTCACAACTTATGATCACTCACAACTCTAGTATACTAAAGGGGCTTGAGCTTGTAAGTTTGTGATTGATCTGGGAATTTGATCTATCCCAGTCAATTACAACTCCTTATAAGACAGTGACCTGTTCTTCAAAATCTATACTGTAAAACCTTAATGAATAAGTGGTTTTCATGTTGATGTCGTGTTTATGTGTAACACAAGTAATACACTCTGCATCAGTTATGTGCATTCAACTTTTTGACCAAAAATTTTGCTACACAATTTCTTACTTATTTATATTTCTTCACCTTTTTCCCCCTTCTCTTTTACAGGATCAATACAGCATCTGTTATGAAGGCATGGCAGAGTACATGAAGAAGTTTGATGAGTATGCGAACCTAGACATGTGAAGAGATTGATTATGCTTACAGTATGTCGTTTCTACCGGGGGGCGTTTCACAAAACTTGTCATCAGTGACAATAGACAGTGTTTGTTATAAACTACTGAAATCCTTGCTTCCGATTGGTTATTAGCAGATTTGTCACTGATTTTTGTAATTTGTCAGTGAAAAAAAGGCTTTGTGAAACTGGTCCCAGGAGTCCAAATCTGTAACCTGTAATGTAGACCTTCTCACATTATTTGTAAGGTGGTTAGTGCTTGAGTGATGTCTATAACTTTACTGGCAATATTTACAATACCATTTTGCTGCATGTACATGAGATGCTCGTGAAAGAATAGTTTACCATATTTTAGCCCACGTACAAGTTATTTTTTTACTGGATTCTAATCTGACCATTGCCATTCTTGATGTATTCATGATGTGATACTATGACTTGCCTGGCAATTCACTACATGCTTTTGATTATACAAACAGTAAAAGCACTACCGGTAATTGCACTAATTAGTGGATAATGGTGTTTCTAAAAAAGCGTGTACCTAAATATATACATGTAGTATTGTAGACCCAGCAAAAAGTGACTGTGTATTAAAATCCATGAATAATGTGGAATTTAGCAACGCTTGACAGGATTTTTGAACACGTTGAAATATGAAGTAAAATATGACTTACAAACAACCAAATGTTCAATAAAGATAAGCCTTCACTTTTTACTATTTCTGTCTGTTTATACATGTTCATGTATGTGGTATCTTATGTTATTTATAATTACATGAAATAAAGAATCTGTGGTTATCATGAAATATATATGTACTTTAAAGAAAAGAATTTTTTTTTTTTTTTTTTACTGTACTGGTAATTCAAATGCATGTCTAGCTCATTCTCAAATGTTTTAATGTAATAACACTCGTTTATATGACATGAATAGTACCGCTATCAAAAAGTAACTATGCAAACAAGTCTTTTATATATTCTTCCCATTCAAATTCACTCTTTCAAAGTACATTAATAATTATAAAAAAATTATGGGGAAAATGCCTTTGCCAATTTACCTAAAAAGAGGCCTAAACCTACAAAGGACTTCAAAATAGAACCCTTTTTTATGACTTATATACATTTTACAATTTGATTTATACAAATCTTCTTCTTCTATCGACTCCCCCTCCTTCACTCTTGAAGAGTCTTGGAGATGCTTCTTTAGACTTATCCAGTATATATTCGATTTTCTCCTTTGCTTAAAGAATATTTATCTTGTGTTTATTACTTATATGTTCAAATATAGTTAATATTACTTTTTTCATTTATCATTGTATTTTACCTCATAAGTGTTTTCCCCTATTATTGTAAAGAGACTACAGGAGCTTATTTAATTCATATTTTAGGTTTTCAAAATACTTCTCATAGAATTTGAACATGCATCGCAAACTTACAATAGTTGACTATTTTGTTAGCAACCCAAATCAAAGTGCATGAAAAAAAAGAGATAATTTGTTGTTCCATTTAAGAAATAAAAGTAGGTAAGTATTTAGAATCTTGTTTTAAACATAACATTTTGATTCTTTTTATTTAACATCTAACATTGTTACCACAATTTTCACAAAGATTCTAGTAATGATTATTAAAACATTTTCTTTCTATTTCTGGGACAAAATCACATTCATGTTGATTTGTAAACCCATTTTATTTTAAAATTGTAATATAGATTGTTAACCTGCCATAAGCTTGAACAAGCTTAATCAATGAAGTACATCTTCATCGAAATGAAATATCACTTTTATACATGTGTTGTATCCTATGGTACCGTACTTAATAATATATTTACATGTACATCATACTATGTAATAATGACCCTTAGGGGAAATGTTTTGTTAGATATGTTTGTTTTTATGTCTTTCCAGAATTTCTTATTCTCTTTTACAATTCTGCTTTCATTCCTATAGTTTTATATTTTAATAATTTTATGTTTAATTCGTTATCAAATATTGATATTTGAATGCAGTGGGGACATTGATGCAGTAACAATATATTATGATATTTTATGAAAGTATATGTAGTTCTAAGTATATTATGCAGATTGACGATTTATTGAACATATCTTATATCAGTACTGGTGCTGAGATGATTACACATATATGGTTAACCCTAAGAAAAAATTCTGTTAATGATCACATACATGCATATGATTTTAGTTTGATTTTATGGATGAAGTAGAAATAGCTTTAATTTGTCTTTCATAGTAAAAAGTGTGAAAGCTGTAAATAATATTTTTTACATAATATGAGATTTATTAAATTAATTGTTTTATATGAAAATGCACGCTATGCATGTATCAAGATACCAATTAGAATCATCTTTTTTCCCATTTGAAGAACAGATTATTTTTACAGGGCTCGACCACTATATGAGATCATAATTGCCATTTCTTTCATCCAGTGAACATGTAAAATGGAATAGCGCAATATGCAATTTGCGGTATAGAAATATCTTATTATTATTATTATTATTATTATTATGAGAAATTCCTATGAATAATTACATTCCCGATTGCTGCTATTAAAATGATTTGTGAATAAATAGATTTTTTTTATAGAGTTAATTTTATTGTGTGACCGTTGTGTTTCATATGAATCTTGCATTCGTTTTGATATAAAACTAGCTTTCATTAAAATATGACTCCTAAAACTCAAGGTATTTGGCCATTTGGTGTCCCATAGTATTAGCAATAGACCTGTTTACTATTTCTCTTGGCAACTTCTAGTAAAAAGCTTGCCAGATGCGTGCTTGACATAGCAACATCTAATGAATGCAAAGTGGTTTCCGTCCATATAGAGATCCAATTATTCATAGCAGGTGATTGAAATAGCTGGTAACTAGGGATTAGGGAGAGAAACATGCATACATTTAAATGCCTCAGTAAACGGGTCTATTATCATGGAACAATGAACATGATCAACATACAAATGAAATTTTCCTTGATATTTGGTTTGATGAAAAGTTTAAAGTAGGGCTATCGGCTTTATACTAAAGCTGGTGTATCCTAATCTTTGATAATACGTATAGTACTAAATATCTTGGACTGGCCAATCTAAAGAGATCAAGCAGAGGAAATAGACTGAGAGGGGAGCGAGAAGAAGAGTGGGAGAGAGGGGAAGAGAGGGAAAAGGTAGGTGAAAGGATAGGAGAGAAAAAGAGGAGGGAGAGGAGAGTAGAGAAGGAGGAGGGGAGAGAAAGTGTGTGTGCGTGAGAGAAAGGGAGAGAAGGCGGGGAATGGAATAACACAAGGAATAGAGTAACTACATGTAATCAAAAGGGAAATACAAAATTGAATTCACATTGCTAAAGAGAGTGCGTGTGTGTGTGCGCGCGCGTGTGTGTTTGTGGGAGGTTGTTTATGAGGACAGACCATAGAGCCCACGACTAAAGACTACTCCCATTTCCCTACTCTTCCACACAATACTACCATTGTTGATAATTAATGACGGCACCTGTAATACCGAGTCGAAGATGTACAAATGGGTACTTAAAGGTAATACAAAGTTTTGGGACATTTTGAAAATTGGGTGGATAGTGATTCTTTACAATTTTGATATACTTGGATGCCCCTGTGGATGTATTATAAGCACAAGAAATTTTAGCCCCTAAAACCCTTCTGCTTTCAAGAAAAATTTAATATAAAATTTACCGGTGCTCCCGGTAAATTTTGATAAATTTCAAATAGCGCCGACGGCCGTACAATAGTAGCTGCGACCATGAAAATCTCAGAATATTTAGTTGAGATATATAATTTCCAAACGGGAAGAGTCAATTATTTACAATTTCACAACTTAGACTCGATTTCAACCGCAACAACGATCACTGAATATTGTAGGGTCGCATATGCTTCCAATATGTTCATTTGAACCAAATTCATGCATACCAAAACTTTGTATTACCTTTGAATTAACTCAAATTAACGTCTTTTTTTCTTCTTCAATGTTACTATCGATTCATAAGTGGCAATTTGAGTAAAGGTTATATGGTGTAAAGCGTTCCTACTTATTCGTGTCCACAAAACCACTAGAGTAATTTAATTTTGGGGCGTATATTCTTTTGTTTTGTGCTTGCCCAGCCATGCAGTTGTCGCGATTTTGTGTCCAACTCGAACCGGGTTGGTCAAACTCTTCATCAATGACACTGGGCCCCATTGCATAAAACTTACCCAAAATGGTGACTTCCATGGAAACCTTGATTTGATTTGCTGTTGAGTGATGTTGACATGGTAGTTGCTATTGATGGCAAAGTTACCATGAATGGTGCTCTGGGCAAAAGTACATATTTGTACTAGTACATGTACATATTAATCTTTTAAATGTGCGTTTGTTTCTCCCCCTTTTGTTTTAAGCTGGACTATTATTGAGTCGTTCATGAGTTTATACATTCTGAATCGTTAACCAAATCAAAACAATTACCTTTGTACCCAAGAATACGTGATACATGACTAATTTCAATGTGTGCACAAGCCGCAGGGAAATTGCTTAATTGCTTTCAAGATTAAAACTCTTGAGAGAGTTCATAATTACCACTTTATTCTAGGGCAGAGGCGTAGCATAAATGTAGACAATTAAGTGGGCTCTGGGAGATGAAATATGAGAGAACGGCAAAGCGACCGAGGAATGGGGTGGGTTATGTAGCTGGGATGCCATGTACCATCCTCTTCCCATATTTCCGTCCCTCTTGTCCCTTATTTTCACTCTCTCTTCCTCTCCCATCGATTAATTGAGGGGGAAATGTCCCCCACGCCCCCGTATCTATTCCGCTACTCCAGAATACATAGTATATATATTCAAGTAAGCACTTAATTCAAAACAATTCTTGTTTAAATGTTACCCGCTATTGTTAAATGGTGCCATGTAAAGTGTTCATACTATTTTAGTCAACGCAACATTTTTTTTAAAGTTAAAGATGAAAAGTTGTAATTAAGCGAAAGCTTTATAATAATCTATAAAAAGGTCTTGCAAACATTCATCCTCTTTAATAATATGATACTCTTAAATCAGATGTCCTATCTATGGCATTATCATCTTAGCATTAACAAGATATAAGCCCACTTAAGAGCGGATGTTACATTACAATGAGTGGGGCCCTAATGGACCCGATAATTATTAGTCATTATCGAGACTGATGAGGCTAATACGCGCGGACTATTAACTGATGAAAATTATCTAATTATTGTCAAGAAGGGTTGTCATAACTGTAGGCCCTATTTACAGTTCACTAGTGAGATTATTGTTTTTCAAAGTGTTGACTGATCATTCAGTCATTAGTTTTTGGATAACACTGCTTTCAGAGTCATAGAGATATATAGAATGTCGGTTTGTTTGAAACATTTAGCACAAATCCTAAATAACTAGAACGAAATAGTCAATCTGCAAATTTACTGTGATATCTGGATTATATTCCTTGGATAACTGTTGAGTTCATTGCTTGTCTGATTGAAATTAGGGGACATCTATTGTATGTTTGCTAAACACCATCAAAGAAACATCCTTGTTAGATGACAGAAGATACTTCTGTGCCATACAGTAGTTGTCGAGTGCAGATTAATTTCCCGTTTAAAGAAAACTAATAATTTCAGGGAAGGCGTAGCGACGAAGATACATGTACAATGGAGGGCAATTCTTCCGCTGGATTCGATCCCGACCAGGTTCCACTTTTTAATTTGGATATCATTATTTATACCACCTGGATTTTTATGGTCTTTTCCTTGATTCTCAATTCATGTATAATATTGTTAATGAGAAACAGCGACGCGTTCAATGAAATTGACTCCATTCTGTATCAGGTTTTGGCAGTAGAGGACATGGTTTTCTTCATTACTGGCCTTTCTATTCAGTATCTAATAAGAAAAGATACCACTAATTGTGTACATGACACCTGTCACAGATGGTCATCATTAAGACTCATCTCCTCATCGGCCATCTTGTATCAGATCTTTGGTACCCTTCTAACAATAATTTTGTGTCGTTATCTGCTCATCGTGAAGCCATTGCAGTACCTCCGATGGATCACGAAAAGAAAGGTTGTGGTCATCCAGGCAATTATCTGCATTGTTTCAGTGACGTATAACTTTGGGTTACTATACATCTTGACACTCCCAAAGTATTTCAGCCCTCGTGTTATGGTTCTTTTTGTTCTTCCTATAATCGCAGGGTTTGTGGTGTTATTGGCTACAAGCATTCATATTATGCTGATATCTTTCAAACAATCGAAAAGAATTAATGCTATCCACAACCAAGTGGCCAGAATCGATCCTTTAGGGAAAATCCGTCAAGGAAAGCGCCCTCTCGACAGTTTCAAAGGCCTTCGGACAACACTGTTGATCACTTTTACTTACTGTATCTCATGGATTCCCTACATCTTAAGTATCTTAGAATCTGGGGGATACTTACAGCAGCCGTCTCAGATTCGGTTGCTTTCGGGTTTTACGACATTGCTTAATTCAGCTTGGAATGCTTTGTTGTATTACGCCACTAACCGCCAGTTCCGACTCGAAGCGATAAAATTATGTGGGCGAATCAAAAGAAGATTGTTCGAAAATTGCAAGTAACTATCATAATAGACTGAAAAATATTCATTTAATAACAGAAAACTCTTAATTTAAACAAATTGTCAACTCATGTCATTATCTCCTTGTCCGTCACGAACATCGCTGCAGTGATAAGGGTCATTGTCTTTAGAATTCTGTTTTGTTCATTCTCTTAAATAAAGACATTGCATTAATATCAATGCCCTCTTATCGAAGTATCCTATACGAGCTGCTCATTATAAGCACAACAGCACAAATAAATATTTAGAAAATAATTAAAAACAAAACAAAGCAAAAGACGACACATTTTTCTGCTGTTATGGTGCTAGTCCTCTCCTTGAAAGTTCATGCTTCTCTACACAAGCCAATTTGATTTTTAAATGTAGCTTATATTGCTTTTATTATTATCATTATTAGTATTATTATCATTGTTGTTAATGTTATCATCATTATCATCATCATTATCATCATTATTATTATCGTTATTATTATTATTATTATTATAACAATTATTATTATTATTATTATTAATTTGTTTTGTTTATCATCGTCATCATTAGTATTAGTATCATTATTGTTATCATTGTAATTGTTATTATTTTCATTATCATTATAAGGATTGATACCCTGAAAAAACCCTCTGATTCACTTGTTACTCCGGTTTGACGATCTAGTAGGCGCCCAGTGCACCCCTCTTCGAAGACTGGATCCACTCTATGCCACTGCTTCACCTCCCTAATGATGCGAAGCTAGACTGGCGGTATTCTCGATGATTAAGTGCGCATAGAATCAAACTGGTTCTGTATAATTACAGAGTAGAGATCCATCACATTGTATGTTCCATTGACTCGGATCAATAATGCAGGATTCAATTTAATTACTTACCCGTTGTGCTTCTTGCTATGACGAGAGTATGATTACTTTACAGGCTCCACTGGGTAACTAAATGAAAACACTTACAAGATTAAAAGCAATTTTCTAATTTTCGTATAACAAAAATAAATAGCTCTTACCTGAGATCTACATGTACATGAGACTTGTTGCCAAAGACTGATGTTGACGGATTGCGTTATTCTGGACACCTAATACCCCAATCACACCAATGAGTAATACACGAGACCAAAAACAGACCGAACACAAAAGTTAGGGCCTATGTTGTAAGAATTGCGAGACTGATGATATGATTCAGAAATATATTGTATAAACGAAATTGTATGTCATTTTCTCATGTCCTCTCAGTACTTTTTTTTAAATGTATGTTTTCTTTACTATTAACACTCATTATATGTTTATATTGTATTGTTTGTATTGTATGACATATTTTCTAATATGTACAATGATTAAACACTTATACATACACATCACAATTTATACTTCAATCGCACCAACGAGCCCAACACGAGACCGTCAGAGCCCGAACAATTAAACAATTATCCCCCCCCCCCAAACAAAAGACTAAAACATGGTCGAGTTGGAGTTGATTTGGCGGTACTACAATGATGTATTGCCTCTGATGGGGTTGTTGACTCTATTTAATAAACTTGGCTGTCTTCATACACGCATAAATCTAATCAATGATCAGGTTAAATCATAACCATGTTCCTCGTGGTGGTGATCTGATGTAGAGTTCTCCCATCGAAATATTTTATATAACAGTGTACAGGACATTTATTGACACCAATTCGCCGTAAGTTGGGTGATAGCCGAGGACGTCGAATTGTAAAGACCGCGGAACGGGTTTAGAATTAGTTTGTGGAATCCCATATAAACACATCCATGGTTTTTGCATCCAATCATGTAATTACGCGGTATAACAAAGGAGATAAATACAGACATTGTGGGCCTACCAATTACTTCAACGTAAAATGAAATCCATTTCGACGTGTTGTGTAAGGCGAACGAATGTATATGAAAGGAATATCATTTGTTTAGCTTGTACATTTCGAGTGATCGTAGATTTGCCTCGTAGAAGTACGATCTATTATATTAGCCATTCTTCTGGATGTGTTGGTATGTCGAGGAAAGATAATAAGCTTCGCGAGATGGTGATTTTCATCATGTGTTAGAGCGACTTGGACTTCAACTTCCAGTAGTTACGGAAACATGCCATTTCGCGTATGTCACAGGTACAAATTCTCTCAAGACAGTCTGATTGGAAAAGAGCAATCTAATCTTCTATAGTAGGGACATCTTTTGAGGAAATGAATACGCATCAAGATTTACTGAGAGCTAACTTAAGTCTACCAGTACACATCTGAGAGAGGTGTCTAGATTTAGACATCGAAACTGTCACATAGGTAAATAATTTTGAAGGTGTCACATAACTCTTTTCCGATAATACGAATCTACATAGGAGTTACTCTTCCTCTTTATTCCCGTATATGAACTCAAAGAGCATCGAAAAGCCTTCGAAAAGTGAAACTGGGAAATTCAGGTTGATAGAAATTACTTTATTACCAGCCTACATAATTGACTGATCTCTGAGAAGTGTCTAACTTTTGTTTTTAAGTGGCCCAAATATTGTGGAGCGTGTCTGCAGCGCTGTGTAACTGCAAGGAAAAGGTGCTATATCAAATATCTTTTGGATTGGATTGGATAGAAAACATATAAAAACGTAAAGAGCAAGAGCCAAACGCCAAAAATAGTATTGACATATTTAAATGAACTTGATCTTCAAAGGTAATGGCGGAAGGATTAAATAAATCGTTTCCACCAAAAATCGGCGCATCGATTGCGCAGTCTGTTGATTTTGGCGTGGCAGGTGCTTCATTGGCTGAGAATGCTCACCAAGTGGAACCACCTGAAATCAAGAAGTCCAGATGGTACCTGCTATCTTCATCATTTCCTCATGCCATAGGGGTAGCAGGGATCAAGTTTATATTCAATGGCGATGAAATGAAAATAAGGAGGTAAGTTGCAATAATTTAGACCTTGTATAAAAAAAAAAATCAAATATATTTCCACCTAAACAGTCTTCAAATAACTAAAGGCATTGTTCGCACATTGAAAGTGTGATGTGATTCACATGGAACTAGGAATGAGGGAGGGGGTACCCACAATTGTTGAACTAGTACCTACAAGAATGCAGTATACTGTCGAAAAAGACATGTATTGTACTGTATTGTATTTATTAAACTATATTGATGTACATCAATATTCTGTTTATAAACATATAATCACTTTACAATGTAATGTAACAATCAATATTCTGTTTGGGAACATATACATCATATAAGTCAATTTACAATGTAAATTCTAATTCTAATTCTAATTTATGATAACGGTTACTATCCATGATTATTATTAGTTTAAAATTTGAAATGAATACAGAAGTTTTGTGTATGAATTCAGATCTATTGTTTTATTTATTTATTTATTATAATTATCATCATTATTATTATTATTATATATATATATATATATATATTTTTTTTTTTTGGGGGGGGGGAGATCGGGTAACATGTGAATTTCCCGACACATCTTCTTTTTACCTCCCTTGCGACTTGAAGGAGAGAACGCACCTATTGTCTGATTGATGTGAAGCCAGGTTCTAATACATGTACATGGAAATCAACTTCATTCAATAAAACAGTGACATGTATGCTCATGGTATCTTTTAATACTGGTAAATCATGTACCCACCTTCCATCAGAAGAATCCAAACTAAGAATATATCAATGAAACAATTAAAAAATGAAGTTAATAATAAATAGACGTTTGATATTCTATTTGATGTTGATCTTTAATCTTTTCTTTGTATCTTCATACGTGCTTTGTGCGTGCCATATAATTCTTACATATATGTATTATATGTATACATGTATATTCTTATATTTGTATGCTATGGCGAATGATGAAGAAATGAATGAATGGATAAAAAGTAGACCAGTTCTGGTCATGCGATTGCATTGTGAAAGAAACGTGGAATCGTTCAGAGAAGGTTGATCATCTAGCATATACATGTAAGTGTTGGTGTGTACTACACGGTTCTGGAATCATCAACATGATAAGGAATTGGACCAGTCTTGGTAAAGTTACAAGCACTGTACACAGAAAGATGTATATGGGACTACGCGACACGTCCGTTATATCTATCAGGTCCAAATAGATATAATAATTTACCAAAAACATCGATTAGTAGGCGGTTTCTCGGCAAATTTGTTATAACACGTATTAGTCAAAACACATTCTTTCACATGATTGGTAATAAAAGCTTCCATTTCATTTCTTGAGAGGAGGGCGTTTCCAAAACTGGTCTTTACCTTTAACAAAAAACCCTGACGACGGATAGTCAACCTGTTCGAAACGTCGAGCCACTCATCCTCTCCAAGCGCCATAGTTCTCCTTAGAACTATAAGCTAAGAAAGATAACAAACAGTCCTTTTCAGGACTACACACCCCAAGAAAGATTACCGAGTCAGAGTCCTTTCCAGGAATCCTCGACCCTCTCTCTCTCTCTCTCTCTCTCTCTCTCTCTCTCTCTCTCTCTCACACACACACACACATGGTGCACCCGCAAGCCTACTGTATATCTACATCACCATGCAAGCCGCCCCTTTAAGCAGCATCAAACCCAAAGTATCTGTTGACCTGGTTGACCTGGTTTTTCCTGTCTGAAAATGTCATCGATAATGCGAAAGGCAATATCTACCATTACCATTTTCCAAATAACTTGAACAAGGCAAATCTAACTTTTCATCCATCTAAATGTTGATTCGTCGAAGGGTTCTTTTTAGTCTTCCTCAGATGTAATACAAAAAGACGTGAGATAACATTTTGTTTATGTTACAGATATGTCTGGGGCATCCTTCTCCTGATATGCCTCTCTGCGATGGTATATCAAACAGGTACCCAATGCGTGAGGTATGCAATGAAACCTGTTAACACCCTTTTGGATGTGGAGTATGTTGATCGGCTAGACTTTCCATCAGTCGTTCTCTGCAACTACAATGCTTACAGGTAGCTTTTCTTTATGTAAACGGACCAAAATTGATTAGAATTTCATGAAGAGACATACAAATCATCACCAAAGATGAAGCATTTAGTTTACTTAAACATTTTGAGTTAACCCACAGAAACACCAAACTTTGATGATGATCTACTAGTTCTACGTGATACATCGTCATCGTTACGATATTATTCAACATGTTCAAGAGGGATTGGACAGGGGTCTTAATACAAACTGAATGGTTAATCATCCGATGCGACGTTTCTATATGAATTATGTACAGAATGTGCAAGAGAAGAGTGGTCTTTAGTCTAGATTCTAATGGATATTGTATAGGACTACTAATTACCCGGTACAGATTTGTCTCTTATAGTCATTGCACAATCCGATTATAAACAAAGGTGTTTAGTACTTTGCTAATGGTTCTAGGACACCTACCCCCTGGACGTCCACCCCCGGATAACCACCCCTAGTCAACTACCCCTAGGACAACTACCCCTAGAGCAACCACCCTCTGAGATGACTATCCCCGGGACAACTACCCCCTGCACGTCCACCCCCGGATAACCACCCCTAGTCAACTACCCCCCTAGGATAACTACCCCTAGAGCAACCACCCTCTGAGACGTCTATCCCCGGGACAACTACCCCCGGACGACCACCCCCTGGACGTCCACCCCCGGATAACCATCCCTAGTCAACTACCCCTAGGCCAACTACCCCAGACAACTACCCCCTAGCCTAGGACAACTACCCCTGGACAATTACCCCCTGGACAATTCCCCCTGGTCAACTACCCCGTAGGACAACTACCCCCGAACAACTAGTACCCGGACAACTACCCCCAGACAACTACCCCTACGGCAACGATCCTCTAGGACAAATACCCCCGGACAACTATCCTATGGGGTAGTTGTCTGGGGGTAGTTGTCTGGTGTATAGATGTCTGGGGATAGTTTTCCGGGGGGTTGTCCTGGGGAAGTCGTCTTAGATGGTGGTTGTCCTAGGGGGTTGATGTCCAGGGGGTAGTTGTCCTAGGGGATAATTGACTAGGGGGGTTATCCGGGGGTGGAATGACCAGGGGGTAGGTGTCCGGCTACGCTTGCTTATACATGTACTGAATAAGTGAGGAACTGAGCACGTTATGGGATGTATGGTACAACAACAGTGAATACATACTCGTATTATTGTTGAGCGCTGGGGCTTATTACTTGTGTAAAGGCTTTATAAACAAATTAATTGTCCTACTTATAATGCGCCTTCAAATATAGGTTAGAACCGTTGTAATAGTACCCAGTAGAGACACTGAATTTAATACCTTCAGCTGGGCTATAATATATTATCATGTTTTGCAGCTCTAGGTTTGAATGTATATGAACTATCGTTTAATTATTAATACAAATGATATGTAAACAGTAATCTTTTATCAAACAGGAAATCCTACATAGAAGACAACGAAGCAGAGTTTGCTGCACTCCTAGAGCATCTCGCTAATCGAACATCACGTAGACATCAGGATATCGATGCCACATTTTATGATGGAAACCTGAAGTACACCAATCTCACAGAACTGAGACTCAACGCTGCCCATCAACTCGACACTATCGTTTAGTAAAGTGCATTTTGTATCATTATAGGGCTGGCGGTGTCTCACAGAAAAATCTCTTTAAAAAAATCCCTTGAAAACTCCTTTCAAGGGAGAATTTTCTTGCTTCGTTAGAGGATTTTTAATGGGATAATTGATGACAGACAGCAATTAAGAGGATGACTAAAATCTGGATAACTAAAATCCGGATTTTTGGCCTCTGTGTGACACCGCCTAATGTGTCATCAACAGATTCTGAGCAAAAGCACATTAAAACCTTTGAGCACTATGCAATATGAAGATGCTTTACATAATTATCTAGGAATTGAAATGCAATAGGAAATTTGACTTGATTACAAATTAAGAACATAGGTCTACATTGCATGTTTTTTAAAGTTTTTTTAGTCTACTAATACTTTATGGTAGCGTTCATTAGAGCAATTAATATATAACGTAATGATGGTTTCTCGGTTATTAATAATATCTTTTCAAACGAATTGGTTTAAACACGACATTCTTTGGGCCCCCTTTTGTCATGTTCCTGTTTGTAAATCTTAGAAAGTTTGATGAGTTCTCTAGACCATGAACATAAACCTCACTTCTTGTTGAGTAAATTCACTTAACACGTGTCTTCTCTTTACAGTGCAACCTTTGGCAATGAAAAACTTACAGTTGATAATTTCTCTCTCGCTCTCTTCGAGTTCGGGGTGTGTTTTACTTTTAACCTCGACAGTACTCATCGGTTACAAGTACTAAGCCCAGGTAAATGATACTAATTATAGGCATTTCTACAGCGCCGTCTTTCTAGAAATTCTATTTCGAGGCGCATTAATTATTACCCTGGCTTTAGCCTAGCTGCCATTACAGCACTCCAGCATTTCAAGGAATTAATTCCTGCCACACAGGCGCGTACGCAAGGGGGGGGGGGGATTAAACCCCGTTCAGTTTTTTTTAAATGTGTGTATTTCGGAGCAAACCCCCCTCTCCCCTTTGTGATTTTTTTTTTGTTTAATAAAAAAAAAAAAAAAAATTAAAAATAATTATGCCAATGGCTGACCTAAAAAAGGTGATCTCACCCCCAAACGGAGTAAAATGCCCATTTTTCAATTTTCGAGACCCCCCCCCAAAAAAAAAAAAAAAAAAATAATAATAATAATAATAATTATTGTGTCCTTTTTTATTTTACACACATAACCCCTGACATTTCGTGAATACAGGGACATGTTTTTTTACAAGAGGTCGGGTAACCTGACCCGACGCGATGACCGATGATTCGAAGCGTATCAGGACAATTACCCCCTGGGCAATCACCCCCCGGAAAATTACCACCCAGAAAACTATTTTAGGGGGGCGGTGGTAAGCACGCGAAGCGTGCGAAGCGCACTCCCTATAGGGGGTGGCTGCAGGAAGGGGGGTTTCCCCGTCCCACGCGAAGCGCGGAAGCTTTGATGTTTCATTAAATTATTGGAGAAAGAAGACGATTTGTTGTACCGTTCTCGACTCTTAATCCTTGTTTGAATGAAGTTCCCCTTCCTCCGCGCGTAGCGCCGAAGCTCTGACATTTCATTAAATTTATAAAGAAAGAAGACGATTCGTTGTACCATTCTCGACTCTTAATCCTTGTTTGAATGAAGTTCCCCTTCCTCCGCGCGTAGCGCCAAAGCTCTGACATTTCATTAAATTTATAAAGAAAGAAGACGATTCGTTGTACCATTCTCGACTCTTAATCCTTGTCTGAATTCAGTTCACCCCAGGGCCCTGGGAACGATTTTTTTCACCGGGGGTGCTGAGATATATATATATATATATATATATATATATATATATACACACGTATATATCCAGAGTAGGAAACATTTGCAACTTTATAACCACAAATTAGTCGCATTTTCACACACTTCCTTGAGTAATATGATGTAAAACCGGTTTCTCCTACCCCCTCTAAGAGTAGGGATCTTTTGCAATTTGAGAACCACATTTGGCGCAATAATGTCCACCTGCACTTCCTGGAGAGAAAAAAAACGAGACCTGATGATTAGTTAGAGGTTAGAGAAAAGTGATCTGTCACGTCTCGAGCCGTTGCATATGCTTCGTTGCTGCACATTGCACAAAGACGGTGGTCTGGTCAGTGGCGGATCCCCCTGGTGAAAAAGAAAAAAAAAAAAGGAAAAATAAAACAAGGAAAAAAAAGGGGGAAGTGTTACTTCCCCCCAAGCCACTGAACGAAATATCTGACAACGTAATTTTTCCAATTTCCGGGGCCAAAAAAAAAAAATGTGGAGAGAAATTAGGGAAAGAAAAAAAAAAGAGAAAGAAGAAAGGAAGGGGAGAACAGTTGCGATTTTTCCGCCAACAAAGTGTAGATCAGGGGGGAGGGGGGGGGGGGCACTGGCGTGTTGATCGGGGAGGGGGTTTATTTCTGATTCCATAACCGTTACGGTGGTTTACACATAATGATGAAATGACATAATTTTCTGAGATTTTTCCTCATTTTTAGTAAATTATACATTCTTATGCGTTTGTTGTAAAATGACCAATTCCTAAATTTACAGCCAGGCAAGAAATATGCTTCTTGAGGTGCCTACATGTCAGGGTCCGCGGAATGACGGGGATCGGGAGATTCCACCCCCCCCCCCCCCTCACACTTTTTTGACAAAGTGTATTAAAGAGAAATAGAAAGAAAAAAAGCAAGAAAGAAAAAAAGTTAACTGCCAGTGTCACAACAATATAAGGTATCAAAAAATGCTCATGTGACCGTAATTAAACGCCTAAAACCCTTAAGCTTCCGGGGGCTCTGCCCCCTGGACTCAACCAACGGCCCTAAGGCGGGGCCCCTGATACTCATCTGACCGTAATTTAGTGCCTAAAACCCTTAGGCTTCTGGGGGCTCCGCCCGCTGGACCCACGCCAATCAGTGTCCTGCCAGTGTCAAAAATAAGATATAAAAATATGTTCATCTGACCGTAATCAATGCCTAAAACCCCTGAGCTTCCGGGGGATGTGCCCCCTAAACCTCGCCTAGGGCCCTAAGGCGGACCCCTGGATTCTAATATGACGGTAATTTAATGCCTAAAACCCCTGGGCTTCTGGGGGCTCCGCCCGCTGGACCTCACGCCAATCAGTGTCCTGTCAGTGGCACAAATAATGTATAAGAATATGTTCATCTGACCGTAATTAAACGCCTAAAACTCCCGAGCTTCCGGGGGCTCTGCCCCCTGGACTCAACCAACGGCCCTAAGGCGGGCCCCCTGATACTCATTTGACCGTAATTTAGTGCCTAAAACCCTTGAGCTTCTGGGGGCTCCGCCCGCTGGACCCCACGCCAATCAGTGTCCTGCCAGTGTCACAAATAAGGTATACAAATATGTTCATCTGACCGTAATCAAATGCCTAAAACCCCTGAGATTCCGGGGTTTCCGCACCCTCGGCCCCTAAGTCGGGCCCCTGAAAGCTTGTCTGACCGTAATTTATTGCTTTAATCCCCTGAGTTTCCGGGAGCGGACAAGGTATCAAAATATGTTCATCTGACTGCAGACGCGTCCCCCCCCCCCCCCCAAAAAAAAGAAGAAGACACCGGCCAAAAAAGAGAGGGGAGAAAAAGAAGAGGACGTAGGAAGAAAAATGATCAGACAAAAAAACATTTTTGAAATTCAGACAAAGATTAAGAGTCGAGAACGGTACAATGAATCGTCTTCTTTCTTTAATAATTTTAATGAAACGTCAAAGCTTCCGCGCTTTGCGCAGGAGGGGGGGGGGTGGGCTGAATTCAGACAAGGATTAAGAGTCGAGAATGGTAATACGAATTGTCTTCTTTCTCTAATAATTTAATAAAACGTCAAAGCTTCTGCGCTTCGCGCAGGAGGGGGGGGGGGGTGGGACTGAATTCATACAAGAATTAATAGTCAAGAATGGTAATACGAATCGTCTTCTTTCTCTAATGATTTAATGAAACGTAAAAGCTTCCGCGCTCTGCGCGGGAGGGGGAAACTAAATTCAAACGAGGATTAAGAGTCGAGAACGGTACCACAAATCGGTTTCTTTCTCTAATTGTTTAATGAAACGTAAAAGTTTGGGCGCTTCGCGCGGGAGGGGGAGGGGTAAACTGAATTCAGACGAGGATTATTTTCGAGAACGGTACGACGAATCGTCTTCTTTGTCTAATAATTTAATGAAACGTCAAAGCTTCGGCGCTTTGCGGAGGAGGGAGGGGGAAATCACCCCTCCCTGCACCCCCCCCCCCCCCACTACGTCAATGCAGGTCACCATTACGTACCGATATTTGGGTCGCATAATTTCAAATTTGGGCCCCCCTAAGAAATCCTGGATCCACCCCAAAGTTTGATGGTAAAACTTGACTCAAATTGTATCATAATGTGAAAGAGGATCTAATTTAAGACATATTTCTGCAAGGGTTTTCAAAACAAATGCGTTTAAAGTCGAATATTGATGAAAGAATACAAACAAATTCTGCGTACAACAGAAAACCCAAATTATTCTTCTGCTTCTAATGAAGCTAACTTAATATCAGGGTGGACTTCCCTCCCTGTATTCAATAATGAGCAGAAAAGTGTAATCTATTCCTTTTTCCATTAGACCATTTTTCTTCAACATGTCTCAGCAACAATTTTTTTATATTCTCTCAACAAAATAAACTAACATTTCAAATATATACAGGGCGTCTATAGGTTTTGTTTTGTTAATAAAACTTAAAAAAGTTACGCAAACCGTTGTTTGAATATAAAGCTAAAATCTGACCGAACGTTGCCAGCCCAAGATATCGATTTGCACAATCATGGATTGTATGTACTATTCCAATTATGTTTTCACTCCGATGGATTGATTATACTCCTTAGCATATCAAACAAGCTACAATAAACACACCGTTTGGAATAGTAGAAATGTAGGTTACGTTGAGTTCTTGATTATGTGCATGACAATCAAACCTTTCTGATTATCATAATAATTAAAACACCATATGGAATAGAATCGTAAACAGGTAACCTTAGGTTCTTGATTATAAAATTGTGCATGACAATCAAACCTTTCTGATTATCATAATAATTAAAACACCATATGGAATAAAGTTGTAAGCAGGTAACCTTAGGTTCTTGATTAGTGCACGACAATCAAACCTTTCTGATTATCATAATAATTAAAACACCATATGGAATAGAATCGTAAACAGGTAACCTTAGGTTCTTGATTATAAAATTGTGCTTGACAATCAAACCTTTCTGATTATCATAATAATTAAAACACCGTATGGAATTGAATCGTAAACAGGTAACCTTAGGTTCTTGATTAGTGCACGGCAATCAAATCTTTCTGATTATCATGATAATTAAAACACCATATGGAATAGAATCGTAAACAGGTAACCTTAGTTTCTTGATTATGTGTATAACGATACAAACTTAATGATTAAAATATTACTACAAACACCTATTTTACAATCTTTTTAGGTGCTCTTCAAAAAAAAAAGATTAGAGATAAATGAGGTAAAAGTAATTACAGTTGTACAGGTTAATGCACAGAGAAATTTCAAGTCAATTGAATTGAAAGAGTGTATAATTTTAGTTATTTTGTGGAAAATTGTTGGACACCAGTGGTGGATCCAGGAGGGGGGGGGGGGGGGGGGCCTGAGCGAATTATCGGCCGGCACGATTTTCAATTTGCGGAAGCAAAAAAAAAAAAACATAACATGAACATAGAACTTGGCGGGGTGCTTGAATCATGCAAATTAGATAGTCTGTGAAGACTTTGGGATTTGGGAGAAACTTTTCATTTCTTAAAAGAGTACCATGACTCAAAAAGTTTAAATAACGCTGCTCAAGAGAAGCGCTTGACAATTACCTAAAACTTACATCCTTCGTGGAAATCAGCAGCCGCACTGCCGTTGTATAACTTATATGTATTAAAGGGAACTGTTTAGTATCGAGGAAGACAACGTGCTAGTATTTGAACGAATATGGGTTCATGAAGGGCGTCTTATAGGCTCGTAGCCATCTCTCAATCTATCAGATCGTCTTTTGCTATTGAATCCTGATTGTCCCCCGGGGGGGGGGGGGGTAGTTGTCCTCGGGGGTGGTTGTCTGGGGGGTAATTGTCCGGGGGGTAATTGTCCTCGGGGGTAGTTGTCCTCGGGGGGTAATTCTCCGGGGGGTAATTTTCCGGGGGGTTATTGTCCTTGGGGGTAGTTGTCCTCTAGGGGTTATTCTCCGGGGGGTAATTTTCGGGGGGTAATTGTCCTTCGGGGGTAGTTTTCCGGGGGGTAAATTTCCGGGGGGTGATTGCCCAGGGGGTAGAACCGATTCGAAGTAAGCCCAATTATTAACGAAATATGCAATACAATATTAGGTTAATTCTACAGTTGATACATTTAGGATAGCTAGGAAGAATAAGCATATCAAGGTCAATGTTTTAAAAATGCGAAAAGAATGTAGGAAAAAGATACATTTAAAGATAAGAAAATCCATCACTAGATATAAATCTCTTGCTTTCTGATCTGATACTTAGACCACTTAGTTTTTCTCCCCAAAAATATTCAACGTATCTTCGAAACTGCAATCACATTTGTATTATTTCCCATAATAATGAATGACATGGAACAGGAGCAACCCACGGTCTAGTAGTGATTTTAGATGTTGAGCAGTGGAACTATTATCATCAGGATAGTCACCCTTCAAGAATCTCGGCAGGATTTCAGCTCCAGGCATTCGACAGTAAAACAAGTACCCCCCAAGTCAATGACTATGGGATCGCTGTTGGACCTGGAACTAAGACTCGTGTTGGTGTCACAGTCCATGAGGTATCTACAGTACTCCTTGATAGATTAATTAGGATATCTACAGCACGATCGGAAAGACTCTCAAGATATATAACGTATTGTATGCCCCATAGCATTCATGTTCGGATCGTGCCAATACGCTATTTTCATGTTTGCACATAGCAAGACGTGATGGACAAAGCTTGGGAAATTTTATTAGGTAGCTCTTTATCGAAAGTCGTTGCTATCGTGTTCAGTTTATGAATAAAATACATGAGTGGGGGCGGTAATTAATGGTTATCCACACCAGTTGTACCTTTGGAACAATCCGTCAGATATTGGACGTTTTCGAGGGTAATGAGGGAGGACCATCGATAATAACGCCCTCATTGATGTATCATATTAATATCAATGCCCGAACATAATGTGTATTATTATCCCGGATTATTATGAAATAGTGACGAGAATCCGTTTGTTTTGATAAATTACCATTATCGTGAATTTCATTGTTCAAGAGTCGACTTTCAGAGCTATTCTTTAGACGATTAATCTGAAGCTTTATTGCCTTGCCTGATGGAGAAAAAAGTAAACAATTATTTCCTCTGACATGGTTTTATTTCGGGCAGTTTTATTTTGTTCTTTACAATTTCAATGGTCCTACTCATTGAATTACCTATTGAAATCATGACTGTATGCCTCGTGTGCAGAGGGCATTTAATGAATTATGTGAATCTTCATTTGTAGACACATAACATACCACCTCCACACGGGAAATGTGGAACGAAAAAGCTGAAGTATCATGATGGTTACAAGGTTAGTCTGTGCCAATTGGAATGCAAAACCGATTTCTTGGTCGCTGCATGTAAATGCCGAGCTCCCTATATGGCTGGTGAGATATAATATCTTATTTCCTCTTCTAGATCATTACTTGCATTATCTAAATCATTTATTTTTGTCTGGCAACCATCATTCATATATGACAAGATTGTTGAAAGGTTACCCCTTGGTTCGTAGGTACCAACTTTCCTAATCGTATAGCGCATATGAGAGGGTTCTGAACTTTGAGACTATAGATACTGCGCTCCATAGCAATGGAGGATACAGAATTCTGTGGTGAGGGGGGGGGGGGGGCGGTTCCGACCGAAAAGTCAGTTCCACAAAAAGAAGATATATATATATATATATATCCCTAAATGGTACATTAACAGGACATCATAACAAAACTGGTATAACTACCCTAACCCTAAATTCAAAACAATATAACTAGTTAAACTAATGACTACTGATTATACCTATTGTTTTTTGGGAGCCCTTTACTAGTTTCCACTGCCTGCAAACGTACGCAGAGGGCAGTAATTATATTGTCCAATCGTTATGTTAATGACCATGTCTACTTAATAACTCATTTTTACTACATTATGTCCGTATAATGACGCTGTAAGATGTAAATATGTATATACATGTATATATGTACATATTTTTTATAGGGTCCTATACTCAAGCTGCATCTGTTAAGTCAGAGACTGATAAGTTAAGTCTTGGTTTTGGATTGTGTCCACATGTCTACAGACTATCCCTCCCGGGGAAAAAGAAGTAGAGCTTACAGCTCGAAGTAGGAGGGGTTTTGTTGTTGTTGTTTTTTTTGGGGGGGGGGGGGGCGGAAGGGGGAGAGGGGAGGGGGCGGGCTCTCTTGATGACATCCTCTAGTTTTAGACGTCATATCCCCAGTGTATGATGGTTGATAATAATAATGTATTTGTGTAGCGCATTTTCCTTATAAATTATACAGATTCAATTGAGCTGATTATCTGTATACCAATAACAGGAACAAAGAAAGTAAGAGGTTTCGATCATCATACCATCCTCCCAGACTACTCTCTCACAGACTCACTGGTGATGTCCCCATTGGTGGAAATCATCATACTCTTACCCCCCCCCCCGCTTATTCACCGGCCGGCTGAATTTTTTTCTCTCAAGATTTAGCCCCCCCCCCCCCCTCTTGTCGTCGGCTGGATCTGCCCCTGGGACACGGTACGAATATTCTAAGGTTATCATATCATATAACGTATTGACGGCGGAATTAAAAATGCTTGATTTAGTTACACAATATATATACGGTTTATAGTATAAAAAGCTTTGTTTATGAAGACAACTTATGGCATTAGCATACATGGAAATAACAGCCGTAATCTATTTGAATATTACCCAGGTCCTGATAGAGAATGCAATCCACTGGAGATAGTCTGCATGAATAACGCAATGGGTAAGTACATACCGGCCTGTTAACCTTCCCTCCTCCCACCGAGCTGTAATGGTGATTTTTTTTTTAAAGGGTATCATCATATGAACAGGTTGCTCAACATGCTTAATTGCCATGTAATTAATAACGATCTATAAAAAGAGGATCCAGATATACAAATGCTGAAAATTGCAGAAAATATAGTAACGGATATCTTACAAGTTCCAATAAAAAAAAGCAAATGTATTTCCTTAAAGACAGTGGTCTGACCACTAGCTATGTTTAAGGAAATAAATTTGCCATTCAGCCACGAAGCTTTACTTGAATACCCTTATACTATACAAACGTTATTTTGAAATAATAGTAAATAGACCATTCTTTTATAAACCGAATTCTTCATGCCTATGCTGGGGATGTGATGGCGGCAATTTAAAAAAATATATAAAACCCCGGATGTATATTCTGTATATCGAAGATGTAATGCATGACTGTTGCATGATCTCGAAATAGTCCCCGGGAAATATTATGATGGGATGAAATGACCACCCCTCTCAATGGCTCTGAATCCCTGACTAGAGCGATCAATCCATGCTATTGTTCAAGTAACTATCATAATTGTTTATGTTCATACACGTTATGTATGTAATTATATATTTTTATACGGAAAAAACCCAGACCCAAACCAAGGGGAGATTAAGAAGAAAAAAAAAGATATTAAACATATCCATCTATATAAATACAATTCATTTATAATACAATCATTATTTTGTAAAGCCCTTTTATATGTAAGGTCTCACAGTACTTTGAAGTGTTCAAACTAATTAGCATATTATTAGTGTTATTATGCATAACAATCAATGATCTAAGAAGAATTTTGAGAGCATTCTAAAGAAGACAAAAAACAAAGATTGTTTAAAGAACACTTTTGAGATCAAAGGCACCCAATGAAGAAGAATGACGCAAATGTTGTGACAGGATCAATCCACTGCCGTGGTGCAGAGGACAGAACGGAATATGAAGATCATCTAAATGAGCATTGATGACGTAATGACCTGAAAGAAATCATATTCTATTCACAGCTCATTCTTTCTCCAAAACCTGTCATTTTTGTTTCTGTGCTATAGAGGACTTCAATTCGAAGGCCACTGCTGCTTGCCCATGCCCCCGACCATGTGACGTTGTTACGTATGCTACCACGGTATCACAAGCCAAGTTTCCGTCAGACTTTTACAGTAAATTTCTTGCAGAAACACTGACTGAACGGCGGAATAGATCTCTTAATGCTGCCTATTTCAGGTAAGGATTGCTACTGCTTGTAGTTTGAGACCGGAGTCAGTACTTATAGGACCAATTTTTCGTCTGTGAAACACACAAAATAATGTAACAAACAAAAAAGAAGATCGATATCCAATAGACCGTTTTCGTATTTCAATGCATATGTCTTTGTGAGGTGCCTCCTGGCACCTACCTGGCACCAACTAAAGTAAGCAGTTCGCATGTTGACTATTGAAATGCAGTTATTCGTAACAGGTGAATGAAATAATTCCTATCGAGGCGCTTCACACAGACGTATGTATTAGGTTACATTACGAAAAATGGTCTATTCCAGACGTCTTAGTTGAGGAAATGCCCACTGGACCGAAGTTTTGACATATATTTTGAAGATTCAGGAAAATGTGTTTTATCTTATTTGTTCACACTTTTCTTCTCTCGAGAACCTTACGTTAACTGCCATGAAGCCCATAAAATTCGCATTGTTGTTATAAAAACATTCATATATCACTTCTACTGCTACTACTACTACTACTGCTACTTTTAGTAGCATTGTTATTATTATTATTGTTACTATAACAATAATTTGTTATACTTATTGTTATTATTATTATTATAATTATTGGTATTATTATTATTATTATGAATATCTTTAATTCTATCTTTATTCTTAATATTTATCCAAACAATGAAGTCCTATAGGAAGGAGATCCATTAATAGTTTGATAACAAATATATAGGTCTATAATCCTGTTTTTAAATGTATTCTTCTATTCTCACGTAACATTTTATCCTCTTACCCCAACCGACAGACTAATGACTACTAGAAAAGACATTTGTATCGAGCAATTGTTTACGAAACTCGGCCTCTTCCGGAAATCGAGCACTAGAAAGTTTACCCCAACCAGAAATCTACGCTCAGAGTTAAAGGCCCTACTCATTTTTCCATAAACATTAGGCCAAATAAAAAAAAATGTTACGCGTCCTGCCTTTTTAAAAAATAGGAAGGAGGAGGCCCTTTTTTTTCTCAAAATGGCCGCTCGGTACATTTTCCCTGACAGTTGGCTATTTTTCAAGATGGCCGCCGGCATTTTTAAAAAAATCAGAAATAGATCATTTTAGCAGGTCATGTTTTTTTCTAAAAAAAAGAAAGAAGAAGAAAAAAAAGAAGGCGGCCCCCCAAAAAGGAAGCGGGCGGGGACGCCAAACATGAATATTTTTTACATGGCCATATATGTTTAAGTAATATGGAGCTCGTTCATTCTAGGTAGCAGCAGCTGAATTATGGAACAGAATACCTGGTATTGTGGTGAGGCAGTCACAGTTGATCAATTCAAATACAGACTGAATAAGACTGCAGACTCATCCGTTCACCAGCAGTTTTCCTTAGATCTAAATTTAGTTGGTATCTCATTGGAATGGTATCTTGTAATTATTGCCTAATTCTACCTCTTCCTTATTCTCCATAGCGCATCGCGACTGAAAGGTAATATGTACTATAAAAAAAAACCGTTTGTTATTATTATTACGAATTAAAATCTTTCCGTTTTGTATTACCTCTATTCTTTATTACAGCAACAGTATGTGTCTCATCAACATATTCTTTAATGAACTGAGTCGGCAAACAAACACTCAACAAGAAGCTTATGGGTTTTATAGTCTTCTTTGTAAGTCTGTAACACTCAGCTTAAAATAGCTTTTAAAGATATAATCAGGTTGTTTGATTTGTTTTTTATTATTTTTTATAATAAATTCTTATATTAAAGGGAACAAAAACCTTCATAATAAGTTACTTTTATTATAAAGTTTAAGATATTTGAATAAAATCATTGAAAATTTGAACAAAATCGGGCAAGGAATAAGGAAGTTAAAGCATTTTGAAATGACTAGTCAGTAGTCACTAGAGGGCGATATTAAATTTGATGACATCATTTGTGAACAACTCTCCATGCCTTTTGTACATCAAATTTCATGTTTTTCCTTGATTCTTGTGATTGAGATAATCTACTCCCCTAAAAGCAAGGTATAGAATGAAAAATGATATTCTACTTCACATGTTATGAAGTCGGATCAAGAACACAAATAAATACGAAGAAAACGAAAGAATTGTTAAATTTGATGTACAAAAGGCATGGAGAGTTGTCCACAAATGATGTCATCAAGTTGAATATCGCCCTCTTAGTGACTAGTCATTTCAAAAAGCTTTAACCTTCCTTATTCCTTGCCAGATTTTGTTCAAATTTTCACTGATTTTTATTCAAATATCTTAAACTTGACAATAAAAGTAACTGAGTATGAAGATTTTGGCTCCCTTTAAAGTTGATATAGGTTAAATCAAAACGTATATTTCACAATGAAAATACTGTAATCAATGCATCAATTGCACTATTATATTGAATTTAATTTGATATAATATATTAAGGACATATATTCATTTCACTCAGGACTGCATGAATTATACACAAACTTCTCAAACGTTGCTTCCTGAGTAAGGGGCAAGTACATACATCCATGAAAAATAGTGCTTTACTGTTACTACCTCTGGACCTGCCAATAAGGGTCGCTGTCTCACTTTTTTTTAAAGCTTTTTAAACCCTCCATCAGATACAAAGCATTTTAGATGTCATTCCTAATCGAGTAAAGTTTTGAGTTAAAAGATTTGGAAGTTACCGTGAGCAGCGACTTTCAATCTGAGTTCAGTGGTTGCGTATGCTATCAGATAAGTTATGCCTTCAAACTTTGTTTGAATTGTTCCACTTTTATTTTTGCTTGATTACCAAATCTTTGTTTGCCCCCCTTTCCATCCCTTACCTGACCCTAATTAGGTGACATCGGTGGCTCTCTTGGTATGTGGATAGGAGGGAGTATTCTTACCCTCTGCGAGGTTCTCGACATCATTGGTTATTCTATACACAAGGGAAGATCGTCTTAAAGCGACACTGAACTTGACTGAAGTGATGAACCTTCTGCCCTAGCATACTGTTCACAGCCATCTATACACAGAGTTTGGCCAACCCTGTTCGAGTTGTACACAATATGGTGACTACTGCTTTATTGGGCAAGCACAAAACAAAAGAATATACGCCATGTTGTGACCCAGGGAAACCAAGTTGGCTAAACTTTGTATATAGATGGCTCTGGTACTGTTCATTGCACAGCGTCATCTCATGGTCAACTTGCCAACAGTGCGAAACCCAATACCTAATTTTCCATTCGCAGACACATGACTCGACGCGAAAACAGTGTAGCTAGGGAAGCAGCGAATTACGGGCTCATAATACTGCTGCAGCTAACCTGAGATGGCGCTAGAGGGGATTTTGCAGTAGTACTTGAACTGGTACAGTATGGTTTTCATATACATAATATGTATAACCCAAAAAATGTAAAGATCTGCGTCGTATGTAGTAAAGGAATTAAACTTGACACTTTATAAAGCAGTCAATATTGTATCGAGAAAGCCTAGGTATTTCTCCCAGAATCTTTTAATGCGAGTCAGTAAGAAACCAAGGGAAGGTCTTGACTGGAGGAAGCCTTACTTTCTCCAATCTTAAAGATAATTTGTCTACAATGTATGAGCAAGAATCAATAATTATAGGCTGGCCAGGAGCCCGTCTTCAAAGGGTCACTCCAGTTCATCCAAAAGATTTGACACTCCCTTGGAAACAGACAGACAGACAAACGAACACCAAAGCCTTTTGCCCATGCAGCCCTAAAATCCTCGGGATTTAGAGAAGAATCATTTTTACATTAAAACATTAATGACACAACTGAGAAATGTTTGACTTAGTTCAGTTCAATTATCAGTTTAATCAAAGTGTAGTCTTGTATTTTTAAGTTTCTTTCAAAGGCGAAATGTGGTGTCGAATAATTCTTTGGGTTATTAACAAATTTTGAAATTATATTGCTTTCTCAAAAGTAGCCACAGGATATTGTAAGGCTTATGTAAGCACACCATTTTACTTTCTTCACCTGTTTGGCAAGGCATACTGAAGGGGCGGTTTGGTTAGGTATCTTGGCTATGTGAAAGCCATGCTAAAATTATACGATTCATGTGTTATAAATGAGTAGTTGTAATAAATGTAGTAATATATGTACGAGTATGGAGTTGTAATAATAATGTGGTTGAAAATGCAACTTTGTTTGACGATAACTCTTGTCGATGTCTATGGCGGAACTTATTATTTGTAATAAGCTCTGCATTTATACAAATGCAGTATCTATTCTGAGTTGTGATTATGCTCAGTGACTTATCGATTCATATGCAGCCAAGATTATTTAAAAGCCAATTAGTTACCATTTGGTGATTGTAATATAAGAGGAGTAAAACAATCAGGCAATTGTATAATGCTACTTCTTTCTGCCTATACCTAAGAAGTAGGTTATAACTAAACACGATCTGTGATGCACTGGTATAAAAAAAAACTCACCACGACATTTACGTATCTGTGTAACCATATATGTTAGATGGTGAGATGGTAGTGTGCTAAGATTAAACAAGGAGTTATAAATTAATTCTTAGTTTAATCATGGATCCTACCAGGTAAATGGTCAACTTTTTATATTGTATTCTAGTTTAGCTGAATAAAGAAATGGATCTGAACTGTCAATTTAAGCAACTTTTGTTCGGAATCTATTCTTTATATCGTACGTAGCACACCAATTGAAACAAGTACTAGGCCTACTTGGCGATGTGTGTGCAGGCAGCACAGAAGCTAAGTACTACTCAACTAATGCAATTCTACAATCATCATAAAAGTATATGGCGCCAACTGGTGGTATAATTACATAATCATCGTCATCGAGAGAGGTTTTCTTTCCATATATGACGGGAACTATTGCAACATTTTCACCCAACATGTAAGGGATCATTTGCCCGCAATCGTATTGGCGAAAAAAAACAACATCTGGATGAGAAAGAAGAGGGAGAGAGAGAGGAAGAGAGAGTGGGGGAAAGAGAGAGAGAGAGAGAGAGAGAGAGAGAGAGAGAGAGAGAGGAAGAGAGAGAGAGAGAGAGAGAGAGGAGAGAGAGAGAGAGAGAGAGAGAGAGAGAGAGAAAGAGAGAAAGAGAGAGAGAGAGAGGGGATAGAGAACAAGAGAGATTACAGGGATAGTGGACATTTTCGAAAAATTCATTTCCATCTTTTGGAATGGCAATTTATTTCTGCTCTGTGGCTGCAATTTAAGGTGTATTTTAATTAATACACCAGTCCAATTACAATCATTTTTGCATTACCCTTTTAATGTGAGTGTAATTGTCTATATTATATATGTAAAAGTAACAGCTACATTCGTGGGAGCATATAATTCACAGGTCTCTCTGAGCTTCGTGGGAACCCGTCATACAACTATTAACGTCATAAATGTGGCATTCCATGATACTTTATTTAATTTTTAAAATGTTGGGGTGTTATAGAGAATGAGCACCAGCCATACTTGGCAAGACGATTAAAAAAACCCACCCACATCCATGCTGCACCCCTGTGACTCATTTTAAAGAGATATGTTTTGTACTTTGTACACCGTGAACCCACCTACATAGTACATTCATAGTACATTCATGTGACTCACGGTGAAGAATATGAAAGGTTTTGTACTTTGTACACAATGAACAGCTACCTGAGAAAAAGGGAGGGTAGTGTAACAATTTTATTTAGAATTACATTGTTGCCCACGGAGTTAGAATAATTTGCCTTTATCTCTTTTCATTGAACGATTGAGACAATATGATACATTCTTGACAGACATAGCTTATATCTGTTCGGAACCTTATTGATCAACCAAAAGAGTTATAGAGATTGACCAAATATAGCTCTGGGAAGATATAAACTTTATCGATGACAAATAAATCATTTTTCCCCAATCATTTCATGAACAGAGGCATGAACAAATTATTCTAACTTAATGGGCAACAACTGTATCACATCCAGGGACCTATAATTCGTCCTTGTTTTCACGAAGTGACGGTAGTGAAGAAAATCGTAACGCAAAGTGAATGCATTTTTTTTCACTACCGTCACTTCGTGAAAACAGCGACGAATTATGTCAATATTAGCTTAGGTCTTATCCTTGAACCCATGGCCCCAAAATTCTGTTACGAGACGATTGCCAATTTTTTTTGAAAAGAATTGAATAGAAAAGTTTATAAAGCTTAGGCTTTTCACATCGTTCTGTAAAGGTGAAATGAGGAAGTCTATGCGATCAATTTTGTACCGCCGTTTTATTTATGTATTCCAAATTGTTGACATCATCATAACATGTTTAGAAATTAATTTTGAAGGGGAAGCCCACCCTCATATCAAGGCGTTTTCAATAAAAGCAGACAATTTGGGAAAGACGCATATCGACATAGTTGGGGCGGACTATGGATTGTCATGTGAGGGGGAAGGGCGACCCGACAGTAATTTTATATTAAAGAAAAATGATTTGATGATCTAAGCTGGTCCCCTGAAGTAAGAAAACAAAAGTTTATAATATGAAAACAAGAAAGGGTTTCAGATTATTTTCTCCATAATTGTTATATCCCTCAAAACGTCTGCGAGCCCTACCTTGCCTTCGCAGTGGCGGTGAGACCATTATCTTTTCCTTTCAGGTTTCTTAACTTGTAACCTCCTAATTAGGTGTAAGGTATAACTTCTGGTTTCGGTACATCACCTACGAAAACACTTGTACAATATTGTTTACTTAAACACAAATTATTATAACTTTAACGCAAATTTATTCTAATTTTTTTTTGTGTTATCGAGTTGTTTGTTCAAAGTGACTGAGCTGAACTGAATGGAACTGATGAACTGTGCTGTTTATTTGAGAGAGGAATGGGTCTTATGTGAAAGAGAGAGGGAGATGGATAGAGAGAGAGAGAGGAAGAGAAGGAGAGAGAGGGACTGATGGAGAGAGAGAGAGAGAGATGGAAAGAGAAGGGTAGAGAGAGAGAGAGACAGAGACAGAGACTGATGGAGAGAGAGAGAGAGAGAGAGAGAGAGAGAAGATGCCGAGCTCCAGATACCAGATGACTCTATGTTTTAGGATCAGTCTATGACCAACATGATCCCTACATGAGAAATGGAATGGCCCGGTAGGGTCTGGCGAATAGCTGGAATCCGCGAAAGTTCATGATTCCCCGTGGGGGCTTGGCTGTTGTTGGTGGCTCGAATTCACAAAGGAGGTTTGTCGACAAACCTTGGTTTTCGTACGTCATATGACGCGTTTTACGCGTTTTTTACAAACCTGGTTTGTAAAGAACAAAAGGAGGTTTGGCGAAACAAAAGGAGGTTTGAGCTCAAACCTTGCTTTGTGAATTCGGGCCATTGTGTTTGTACTGTGTTTTTGTTTAGGGAGGGGGGGGGGGGGGGGGGAGACTACCAACCTTTTTTCTCCACATGTTGGTCAGCCTATGTACCAAAGTTCATATGTCCTCTTTATCGACCTCCACTGGGTCATGCCATTCCTCTATCTTTCCCTCTTCGAATGAAAATAATATGAACCACCATCCTGTAATGATAGTAATAAAAATAATCATAGTAACAAATAATAATAATAATAATAATAATAATAGTAATAAAGTCTTGTATGGCGCTAGTGTTTGCACATTGCCACTCCTGGCGCTCCATTATCATGGCTTTAGCACGACTGCCTTTACAGCACTTGAGCATTTTAAGTATTTAAATCCTGGAAGGTACCCGTTTACCTCACCTGGGTGGAGTGTGGCAACTGTAGATTAATATCTTGCCAAAGTACTGCGATAGGGATTCGAACCTACCAATTTGTGGTTCAAAGTCCAGATAATTATTTACTGGACCACGACACCTCTTTAAACAAGGGGTCGCTTGAAGGGGGTTGGGGGATGATTGATGTAGAACCCCCGAACGAAATTTTATGTCGACAAATTTCTTCATTTTAGAGCTTTAACATACATATTTAATACATGTGTACATATAAATAATATTATATTTTTTCCCTTGTGATTGTCAGCAAATATAACCCGACACCTACAATTTAGAATATTGTATAGGGACGTTAGATAGTATATCGTGCAAACTGCAAAACTCCGTGCGGGTGTTTTTAAAGGGTGATCTTGGTACACTATCAGCAAACAAAAGAAAGAAGGCGGAAAAAAGACAGAAGGATATTTTAGTGTAGTAGATCGGCGATGTGGTGTGCATTTTCATTTCTAGATCCAAGATACTCGTGTATAGTATTTGAGA